AAAGAAAAGTCCTGCAACCCCCCGATTCAAGCTTAAAAGAGAATCCGCCAGAGGGTAGGACTTTAATATCTGCAGTTGATACACCCCTCGCAAATATTTGTACCTAATAATCCACCAGACAGAGAAAAAAGGAAGGAGCGAGAATATGCGAGAAAGAAAAAAGATATAGCTATAACTATCAACGTACGTAAGTTCCTTTATTTGTCGAAAATGAAAGCCGAAAAGTTCCAGGAAAAAAAAAAGGGAAAAACGATTTTCACGTTCAAGCACTCTCATCGCTTTTCGAATCATCCTATCGATATTAGAATTCATCTCATGCATTGCCCGCATCGCACGAAATAAATGACGAAACTTCAAGCGCAACCACCTCATCGATGTACTCGATTTTTCGAAATATTTTTATATTTTCAAGAAATTGCCTCGAAACCTGTAAAAATACGTAACGCGAAGACTGCTGTCACTAACAGGTATCCCCATTGGTTGATGTACTTTCAAAAGCTATTCCTCATCTAAATATGTATACCTCGAGTCCGAAATACACGTGTCTGGTAATCCCCCTATGCTCTAGTGAACTTCCATTCTAAATAAAGCCGATATTATTTGCTGCTGGTTAATACAGAAGATACCATCAAAATCCAGAGTGTGAAGTATTGTTCATATTGTAATGTGATGCTATCAGGTTTATACCCTAGGCTCAACAAGAATCCCAACTAGTACATGGTTGAGGTGTTGCCGTTATTGGTTATTACTAATTACCAATATCTAATAGCAATGGTACCAACCAATAGACATTCCAAATGAATGACAGGTATAAGGTCTTACTCAGACGGTTTATAACTTTGTCAAAGTCGTTACGTGTGCATTAGGCAAGTAGGGACTGATTCGTCATAAGTAACTCTGTCGGGATATCAGATTGGACGGATGACGAGGGTCCTAAAAGGATCCTTACGTCCCATCGTCTCTGCAGTACTGGTAGAATTATGAGGGTAAAAAAGAACTGGCATATTTGAAAAGTAATAAAATTATCACAGTGACGTAAATAATTAAAGCCATTTGTTAGATACTTTGTTGTATAAATTAAAGTAAGATATAGGTGATTCTTGCTATATAAATTTATTCAAACTATATCAATGAACTCTATACTACCAATGGCTTGGAACTGTGTGGATTTAAAGGGACGATTTTTATAATCAATATGTCCTACCACTGCTAATTGTCAGTTTCCAAAGGTGAAATTTCACCAAGTGGCAGGACCCTCTTCAACGTGGGGTTTTGACTTGCCCAAGTAAATCCAAAAGCGCGGATGGAGGTCCTGCCTAAAATCTGTCTGGTATATATGCTATATACATTTATCGCATGGGACCTCAGAAATGTCCTGACAGGTTACGCGAAGCAGGACTTGGCAACATTTCCACAGGACACATCTCCTTGGGGGTTGGACACGCTTTAAGTGATTGCGGTTGGACACTGATTTATGACCATTTCGTCTTGTGCGGTAGTTCAATTCTCTGCAGGGCTTTTAGGGGTTGAATCAAAGTGCCGAAGGACCTGCAGTAGCTCTGCTCAACATGTATTGCATAGGTATAGGGTGTAATTAAAAAGAATTAAAAAATAATGATTACAATTAAATAGAGTTCAGACATCGTTACCACTGAATCCAAAAACTTTAGAGTAACTCTACGAGCTATGGTCAAAGTCAGTTATCAAATCTAAATCATAGTTTCAGAACGGTGACTCGCCTTCGAGACTGGCCTGACACGTCCGTTCCCGTCAGCGTACGAAGTGCGAATGAAACAAGTCGGGTCAATAACGTACTAAGGTACTACTATGTAGACGGTAAACCTGACAGTAAATATTGTCCCTCTAAGTTGTTAAGTCCCGTTCCTACGACTGGTTACAATATGCCTGGGTTTTAATAGTGATAAATGTTTTGAGCAATTAAAGTGAAAAAAGGTAAAGTTTTAACTCTCACCGAGTGCATCGCTTAAAGCTCAGAGCGGCGTATCACTCCGCGAGCGATTTCACGCTTAATGCGAGGAATTTGTCGGGCGGTACAGGACGGAAGAAAGAAAGAGAGAAAATAAGAAGCAAGAAAGGAATGAAACTCGGCTGGTTTTCTTGTGCCACCTACCTATACCCACCCTGACAGGACCACGAGCCACTTGTGCACACTCGGCCGACTCCCACCACCGATCATTCTTACCGGTGCGCGTATAAATCAAGCCGAGAATTTCTCGGATTTTCATGGGACTCTACCCATTCGCAGTCACTCGCAACCTCACGACGATATCTATGTTTTTTTTTTACTTTTTTTTTTGTGGTCTAGAATTCATCCCCAATTCGAATCCCCAAGCACCTTCGACGAGTCGTCTACTCGACGCACTCCATATTCTCCTGCACTTGAGAGTCGACCGCTGGGGAGGACGAAAAAGGCGGAATGGAAGCGAACGAAGAAGATAGGGAAAAGGGTATAGGAAAACGTGAAAGGAAAATAAAATATTTAAGAGTAGAGCGCTAAGGTATATCATTCGTACATTAATGAGGACCAGGTGCGAAAATGGAGGTATTCCGGCGTTTTCAAGTGCATGATCATACGCGGAGAAAATTTTTAATGAAAAGAAAGATCTGGCTCTCGGTGACTCGTGCGACAAAAGAATCTCAAGGATTCGTGTCTGTACTGTCACCTGTCAAATATGCGTACTCCATTCGTACACAATCTCGAAACAGTTTATAGTCAATATGGTAGACCACGTTTCCGGATTCCTCGAATTACTCGAGGATGCACTGGCAACCAGTAGAATGTCAATCTTGTTGGAATGCAGAACTGCGGGGGACATACGAAAATGGTTAACCGTGCTTCCATTTCGGTTAAGTTATGGACTCGTGGCGATCGAATGGACTTATCGGTCGTTCACACTTAACAACTTCCTTCTCGTCCAAGAAGTAATAGAGTTTGGAAATACTTGCCAAAGTATTCTTCGTGTATATATGTCATCGGAACTCTGACTGATAAGTAATATCGACATCGTGCCCCCATTGTGCGCGCGTTTAGTTACATTTTTTAGTAACTGGCTTTTCTGCTGTTTGCATATTTTTCAATATAGAAATCAGACAGTCGCCGTGGATAACCAATGAAATTACGTTATTCCTGTGTCGCGGTGGCTCCTACGGCATTCGGAAGATATTCCAATAAATTTCACCGATAAAAGGACAAGCGCGAGGTAGCTCCTGACCGTGCGAAAAATTCTCATAGAAATGCCGGGTGGTGGAGGTTTACGATTTTGCTTGATATATTGTTTATTTTAATCCAACGCGATTCATCGGGTGTCTATGATGTTCTTAACGATCCGGATTATTTTGGACAATTTGTGTCAAGTAAAAGCGGAATACATGTACGTTATTGACCAAATTACAAAAATGATTAAATTTTTGTGAATGACGTCACAGACCATTAGATAAATTTTTCTAAACAAATTTTTTGCTCGCGACTTTATTAGAGCATCGTTTCATATAATAAGATATTATAATGAGAGTATGCAAAATCACGAGCGTCGGCGTCGCGACGCTTACAGTGTTTACTCGCAGTGTGCATAGCGTGTATGATCGCGCGGGTGACAATATATGTAAACGACGACGATTCTTTTAATCGTGTAAAAATGACGAGCTCATATGTACGAATGGAACAAAATTTTAATCAACATAAGAAAAAAAAGAGATAAAATTCAAAATGAGAAAACCACGTTTTTTTTTTTACAGGAAGGAGTACGTTTAATTATAAAAGCTTTATTTCTTTACACACGGAGGGAGACCGCTGTCAAGGCTGGATTACACGTGGCGTGTTACTGCGTCGTATAGACTTCGTCGTACAGTCTAATTATTTCATAACCTGCTTATTACACATATGTGTGTAATCCTTGAGGGTGAAATATCTCAGCAAGGTTCCACGCACATGCGAACACCTCCAAAATGGCCATTGCGAACCCTTCTGCAAATTTAAGGGTGCTTCAGGTGAATTTTCCGGTGCCGTGAATTACCAAGTTGAATTGGTTTCATGATACTTTTAATATCTCACTTTAATTTCGCACCGTGGCGTCTGTCATTTCCAGTCGAATGAAACTTTATATAAGAAGAAAAACAAAAGTTATTGATACACGTATCGTGTAGACGAGATAAGAGCAAATGAGATATTTCCTTTAAAATATCTACGGGGTGACTTTTTAAAATATTGATATAGAGAAAATGACAGGAGAGAAAATTCATCGAATCACGTATCGTGTTATCATACTTTCTCCATAAGGGAGAAGAAACGTGATCGATAAGAGAAATATAAATTATAATTTCCAATGGAATACGGAAAATGCTGTAAATCGAAAAGTAATTATAAAACTCGTTGCATGTAGTAGACTATCGGTTTCCGTTCCTTTCTTCATTGGGCAGTTAAAAAGCTCAACTTCATACTTTCTCCATAATGGGTTGAAGATTCGCAGAAGAGGTCCATCGGAATCAGATGACTAAAGGAGGATGATATCAATGCGGAAGTAGATAGGTATCTATAAGAAAAGCAATTTTCGAATTGGAATTGTGTATCTCGTTATCTTGCTCTCTTACGTTATCTTTCTGATTGGATGAGTTTTGCTTCTATTCTCTTTCCCGTCATTACAGATTCACCTCGACGGAATTAACGAAATTCGCACTCACCCCGCGATTGTGGTTTTCTACCTGTTAATGATTGTGAAAAGTCCATGCGAATTTTGGGAGAGTTCGACCATCGCGTGTGAAGGTAACACCTAGGGTCGACTAAAGGTCGAATTCACACTTGATTCCCATAGAGAGATATAAAGTAAGGAGAAACAAGGGTTTGTTTCAAGAATGACGGACCGACTGTCCGGCGCGAAAATTCAAATTCGTCTCTGGCTGGGAAGACAAAACTGCGCGACTCTGGTATAATGCATAGTATATGTATATATAAAGGTAGGCATATATATGTTTAAGAAAACTAGTAAGAACGTACTACACATCTGTTTTATTATATACTTATTCTCTATAAAATATTATCTTTGATATGTGGACTCAATTTATAAAATAACTTACATACAAATATACTTATTGCTAGTTATTCAATGTCATGTTAGTATGTATTATCGATAACTTGTAATCTTTAATGATTTTATCAGAATGCCTACACGCAATGTGCCCAATCTCGTACCACGTGTCTATAGATATGTAAATAAAAGAAAAGGATCTCTCCCGGTCTCTCGTATTGAGAATAAGGAAACCGAATCGAGAGATGATCGTCGGCGTTGCGTGAATTAAAAGCACAAGGACCTTCGTTAGAGGTGTCGAGGAGTTCGCTCTCCTCGAGATTGGTTAATACATGTCAAGTGACTCAAAGAGAGAGAGAGAGAGAGAGAGAGAGAGAGAGAGAGAGAGAGAGAGAGAGAAGGTAAACAGAAGAGAAGAGCGAACGGCACTGAGTAATTGAAACAACCAATAGAAAAGTGTAGAGGGAGTATAGCAAGGTAAAGAAAAGAACGGATAAAAGAAGGGGAAAAAAAATGAATCATCGATGACTTAACAAGAAACACAGGAAATCTGCCGAGCCCGAGAGTAAACGGCGCAGTAAAGTAAAAAACGTAAGTGAAGACAAGGAGGATAAAAAGTGGCGATATAATTTCGCAGAAGTAAAATGGAACGAAGAGAGAGAGAAAGAAGGAGGCGGCATAAAAAAAAGGTTCCATATTTCTCCAGTAATTTCAGCGTCGCGACGCGACTCCTCCAGGTGGCGAGGATCGATTTGTGACGTCGGGTGTCTCTTGGTGGAACAACTGTACACAAACTGTCGTTTTCTTACCGGAAGTCCTTACGTGGAGATGGATTCCGGTAGGCCTCGAACAAATAACGAAGTCGAGTCTTCTCGTCGTCGGAATAAGGAAACAAGTAATACGTGTAGAAAGTAACCAGGAAACGAGTCTCGGAATTTACGTTGTATCGGGGCAATCAGTTTTCCAAGAATTTTGATGTTTGATATTCCTTAAGTTTCTGCTTTGCCCGCGAGATCGTGATAGCGGGTTTTGCTCTTTTCTTTCTCTCAATTGTCTATAAGTTACCGTCCGTCGCTCGCTTATAGGCGCGACGTCGCGACGAAATTTAAAATTTACAATTCTCGTGATAAAAGGCATCCCATTGTTCCGTTAATTATTTTCCACTTCCGTTGCTCCGCGACGCTTCGCCACTTTCTCTAGCTTCCCGTCGCCACGCCTGAGATCCGTCTGTCCCTCAGACGAAAATGAAGTGAGGTTGGGGCTGACACTGAGACGTATCACAATTCGGTCCTGTCTTTTTCGTTCGCAGCCATTTTCCATGACAGTGGGGTGACGACAGCATGCTCCATCTGGTGATCATGGCTTCGGTACCACCGTCGCCCTCGCATCGCCAATCCAAAACGCGCCTTAAGGCCTGTGTCTGGCACTTGACGCAGACTCTGGATCCTGAAACATGCATTCGTTCCTTGTCTCTCGGCATTTTTCACAATATTAAAGCTATCTCTTTCTTTTTTTTTTTTTTTTCGCGAAACATCAGCACGAAAAATTCAGCTTCGTTAAAAGCTCTGCGAACGTAATAAACGGGCTTGCGTGTACTCTAAGGATTTCTTGATTTCACGCCCTTACCTGAATAACGCACTTATATATCATGCAATACGTCATGCAAGTGAATCGCATTGCGGTATATGATAATGAGAGGAATAACTTTTCGTGGAGTAAAATATCGTATGTAACTTTTCAGGTGGTTCTCAAAGAAGAATCTTTCAGTGTACTTATATCGTATACAAGATACTCAAAGCCTGTCCCGAGGGCACACGAATTTTCTATGACTTCTGCGGTTACGCAAAGTTTGACAGTCGTTTGGAATACGAAAACAGTGCGTTCACCGTATACCATGATTTTTCAGCATTCGTCGTGGAAAAGCTTGTCCGAAGTCCTACAATATACTTTTCCAAAAAATATTTCTGGAAAGAAATTCCATCTCGTTCCGCAGATCGACTCGCAGCTTACCGTCCTTCTCGATTTGACACGTTCCCTGGGAACTGGGCATGGGCAAGCAAATTCAGCAGTTTCCGGCTCGCCGGCAATTTCATTGGACAAACACGAGCAGAGAATCCAATTCCTAGGCAATTCCCATTGACTGGGCGTTCATCCCGATCGATTTTTGCCCCTGAGCCGTTCGTGGTAGGTCGTTATAGGGACTTCGGTACGTGGTAGGTATTACCTTCCAAGGCTACCAGGTTCCTTCAAGGATAACGGGTCCTGGTGATACGGGAGGAAGACGTGTAGCGGAAAGGGCGAAATAGAAGGTAGGAAATGGGATGATAAAAAAGGAAGTGAAAGGCATGGGGCAAAAAATGAAAGAACAGGAGAACAGACTCGGAAGGGGCAGGAGGGGTATAGTCATTTCCGGTATGTTCCAAGAAATCCGAATAGCCGTTGGTTCAACGTCGGATGAGTCTTTTGAATCGATTCTACTATTATCAAAGTCAATTGGCGCAATCTATTCCTATGCTGTTTTATGGCTATTATCAATAATGCTCTATTTTTATTCTCTTTTTAGTATTACTCTCTCTCTCTCTCTCTCTTACCCTCCGTGAAGCCCGACAGGCTCGCTTCCTTGTAACAGGCCTTGGTAGCTTTTGTCACCGTGAAGGTAACGCAGTACCTGAAATCAAAAGAATAACAAAATGTTGATTAAATTAAAATTCAACGATTTCACGAGTACATTCATCTCAACTTTTAAATGAATGACAACCTCGAGGTATCCTGATGGCGAGGATATATTTTCTAATTGGAGAAATGGTAAGCTCGATCAAGCAAAGGTAAATAACTCGATGCTTCTCTATACTGAAAGTTATTACCAGCGAGCAGTTTATGACTGAGCGCAGTCAGATGCATCCTCATATACTATATATACACGCATTCATACGTACATATATATCTATAAGGTGGTCTAGAAGTAGAGTCAGGGCAATCGCAATCTCAATTGAATCCACCAGAGTACATGGAAAAGCCTGGTAATAATACCAAACCCCACTAGCTATTTCTATATCCAAGGGCCAAGGGCTTCCGCTGGATATCCACTTCAGGACTTTTTAAAATGAGCACGCTTTACGTCATTGATCCCGACCCTAGCACATTCCACATATACTTTTATATATATATATATATATACACGTATACACATACGTTATATCGTTCTAGATAGATTCGCTTTCTGCTTAATACATCTTGATTTAAAAATACAATAGAAAAATGCTCAGTACCTTTTTTATTCAGGATTCAAGATAGACTTCGTAAGGGGTAAAAAATATGCATATGCTAAGGGTGCGAAAAAGAGTAAGCAGCACGCGTATCCCGTATAGAAACTTGTCGCTCGTTGACGAGTGAATTCATTCGAAACTCAAGTAAAACGAGAAAAAACGTTCTCGTTCGTTTGGAGAAAAAAAAAGTTCCCACATGTGTTTCTCCTTTTTTTTCTCTTTTTCATCCTTCGTATCTTTCTCGCAGCCCCCGTGACCAGACAGCATTGCCAACTTTTTTCACTTCTCATTTTCGAGGCTTTCGACGTCGAGCGTCGGAGAGAGACGCACAATGCTCGACCTCGTCTAGCTTGAAGCGTTTTAACAGCCTCCCCTAGTGCCGACGTTACATACCTCGTCCAACAAGCCGTAGGTATCTCTGGGCTATACCCTCTTCCGCATCCTGGTAGAACATCCCTTGAACTGGTAACCCCTGGTGCCATTCATCGATTCTCTTTAATTTTTTTCTTCTGATTCTATTTATATCCTATTCCGCTCTTACTCATATTCTCTGAATCCGCGATAAAGTTCTGTGCACCTGGTACAGTCGGGCTTCCCGTACATTAATGGGTACTTCTGCCTAAGGCTTCCTTCACACCGAAATTCATTTCAGTAGTTTTGACACGGTATTTCTTATGAAAGATTATCTTTCTCTTTTTTTAGAGTACATAGGCAAATGTATTTAAATTCGATTTTTATTCAATCAGCTATTTTATTAATTTATTCTGTTTTGATACTAATCTTATATAATGGCCTTATAATGGTCTTATCATGGTATAGCATTATCGGTAGCTGGTCTCGTTAATGTGTATTAATATAATATCTCTCGTTAAGTATTTGCCATGAAGTAAACTGATACACAGAGTGGCAACGACAACAACAGCCCGCGCAGCTAATGCAACTATAAGAAGAACAAGAGCAACTTCAGCACAATAGGCACAGCCGGAAGTCTGGCGTATACTTGGGTTATATGATATAATAATCGATACGGGTTACAATAACCTGAAAATTATGGTCCTGTGTATTGGGTACCGAATGGGATTTTGCAGTTTACAGGTTAACCTAGTGAACGTATACAAAAACCCGCCATTGAACTACGAGGCTAACGTAGAATCAATCACCTCTGAGGTAGTTGAATGAAAGTTGAAGAAAGTTTTATTTGTTTTACCTGTTATTAAAACTTTTTTAATTAATCAAGATTAGGATGTCCTATCCTTCGTTCCTGATACTACCGATACCTTAATTATATTAAATAAAATTATCCTGGAACAAATACTCATCGATAGTAAGCTTGTCGATTGGAATTTGAAAAATTATCTAAATTTCCGGTTTGGTATAACGTTAAAAATTCTGCGCAAGTGCAGGTACAGTCGAATAGTACAGTAGAGTATGGTGCACGTCTGATCACTGACTGACTCTTGCTAGGAGCTTTGATATAAAATCATCCAGATACTCGATTCACGTGGTAACCCTGTTTTCCACGATTTAAGGATATAGGAATTTTACGATATTACATTTTTAATATATTGACCCCAGTTGTGATTCCTGGAATGTATCGATTACGTCAGCAACCCAGTAATCACGAATGAATACTTAATTGGCACTGAGGATAATTAGTTTCTAGGGAAATAAACAGCTGGCGAAACTAGGTGGAAAATTAATTCCGACGAGGACATGTAAATTTGTCCAAAGTCAAATCTTAGATTAATCCTCGGTACGTGGTTCATAAATGCCAACTGTTACCGGCTTAAATTTCTCCAAAGGATCGCTACCTCGTTATGTCTCGTCGCTATACGTCATGGCACATCGGACTTCTCCGTGGCTCTTGGATGTACATACGCGAAAAAAAAGCAGACGTGCGTACATTAACATTTTGCAATTTCCGGCGGGAAATTTAAAATCCCCGAATGGAAATATCAGTTACACAGAGCATTTCTAACGTGTGCCTGGCCAGAAGCACGTATCCCGTAACCTCCTTGTTTCTTAAGGGGGGTTGTTGATTTTGAATCCCCTTCTCATCCTTGAAAACTTCGCATGCTTCACCACGACGACCAGTAAGACGATCATCGTCGCGAATACGAAATTTCATATTTTCGGGATACGCATACGCCAGTGTAGACACTTGAGGTACCGGCTTAACATTCCGCTGGACTTTTTATCATAGGAAAGCTGTCTTTTATGGGTGACCCGAATTTTTATGACGTCGTTTTCCAGCGATAGCTTCATCGGCAGAAGGGCTCAAGAAAGAAAAAAAAAAAAAAAAAAAAAAAAAAAAAAAAAAAAAAAAAAAAAAAAAAAAAAAAAAAAAAAAAAAAAAAAAAAAAAAAAAAAAAAAAAAAAAAAAAAAAAAAAAAAAAAAAAAAAAAAAAAAAAAGAATTACTGAGAAAAAAAAAAACCAATTTTGTAAAAACACTCAAACCAATCGCTAACGGGTGTCTCTTCGTGCGGAATACAAAGTTTATAGTAATTCGTATTGACAACACGTATAACCAATGTAATTCAATGATTTCTCACATCTACGTCGTCTAAGCAAATGAGCTGTCTAACGACCTGTACGAGCTAAGTGGATCCGACATGAATTCATCTCCAATGTAATTATTCCCCGATGGGGAATATTTAAACGACAAACGGTTACCCTTTTATTTTCAAAATTATTTATGGAACTCGACCGGGAGTCCGTAACTGAATAAATTCTCTCGCCACCGTTCATTTTCTCTCGTCGACGTCGAGCCAGCGTCATGACGGTTTTCCCACCCTTATACCCATACCCGATTCGCCCGTAACCGTCGATAAATTCGTTAAAAACTGGAGCTCCACTTTCAGCGCGAATATCGAGTCCACGCGACGTCCATTAGTTTATCATGACGTTCGGCTAGAATACATTAGTCGTATCTGCTTGGTACGCAGATGTTATAGGCAACTCCCTATGCAGCATCACTTTATACATACACATACCACTAATGGCACAAGTAACTATGCATACAAAGCTACCATTGATCAGCAGCCAGACAATACCAACACGATCGACCGTTCACCTGCAGGTATTGAAAATATAAAAAATAAAAAAGAAATGACCTTTTAATTCAACAATTCGAACGATACCCCGGAGGCGGTAATGATAAACAGAACTAGTCGCCGACGTAACAACTGACCGGAAAGTGCACAACCGGATGAATGCACGTACGTGTCCGATCGGTGTATCGTGAGCCAGATGCAACTCACGGTGCTTGTCTATGCGGAAAAGGAAGGACTCTGTATGCTGAACTATGCGTCTGCTCTACGTGAAGTCCTTGTGCAAACAGGCAGTGTCCCTTTACGTACTTTGAGTACGTTGCTTCTGGTCAGGTAGCTATTCAGTTAGCCAGTAGGTACTTGCTGCTATACGTGTTCGGTAGGGTATATATTTTCTATGTATACATGCCAGCACCCTACTTCTAGGTACCAGCTTAGCTACGTACCTACCGCCCTGCCTACCAACCTGACGGACAGTAAGCCAAAGAAAGTGCTTACTCTTGGTATTCAGGCTCGCCACTATTTAAATACGTATCCAGGTAGGACCAGGTATCTACTGTATATCGCGGTTGAGCTTCTCTGACGTACGAAGTCATCAGGTTGGTGCATTTAGTTATTGAAAAGTGGCGACCTCTACAAACTTTTGTTTCTTCGATCACGGATGACGCGTAGGTTTAGGTTACGTAATTTTCCCACCAGTTTAGCTTCACGCTTATATGGCTAGCCGTACACGCGGGAGCATAGTGCATCTGGCTTGAGAGCCGGTCCTTGCATTGTGCAACGAATTGCATCCGCGCGCATCCGATATCGGGATGCTCCCATTACGTGGCACGAGGATTGATGGCAACCCAGTCCTGCATGTAACTGTAGGAAATCTAAAAATTCTAATTCCTTTTATCTGTACGTGTATTGCTGTATCTTTTATGAATTTCGCTTTTCTTATGCAGCTGCTACGCAATAATTCACAACTGCTTTATGAATAAATATTTCTAAACCCTGATCTATATGCATATGTATAATGTGTATTTTAACGCGATTGGCCTTTGCAGTTCGATAAATATTGTATTTCTGGCTCGTGTTCTGTTTCGCTTGTCTGCTATCGAACTTTGCTTGGCTGAATGCACTTAACAATTTTAAGTAATACTATATTTACTTCTAACTTTTCCTGTGGGTATACGCGCGTTACACGTATTAAATAACCGGCAACGTTCGGGATTCTGTTTTTTGTCTAAACTCGACCTTCTTGGTAATTTCACTAAGTAGATAAGACGCCGATTGGGAATTTGACTGGTAAGGTATTCGGACAGCTTTCGGGCGACAAGAAGGTACAGTTCAAAAAAGGATTTAAGGTCTTATCGGGAAGCCGAAATACGGTCTGTACAGAAATATATATATATATATATATATATACTTGCCGATATACATATATACAGTACAAAGTAGGTGCTGGAAACGAAATTTCCTTCCGGTCTCGAGCTGTTCGGATTAATTAGTCGTGGTTACGGAGCTTTCTCGGTTGAACACTACGATGAAAATGCTGCCTTAGGTGAGGGAACGTTAAAGCAAGAAGTTTCGCAGGGATTCTGCGGACACGTTCACCGGCGTTTATGGGGTTGTTATATATACCCACATATATATTACTGTAGACTCTGCCTTGATCTTCCCAAAGGCTACCGTAGCAGTGGTATCCAGTTTATAAGTTTAAACATCCCGACCAAACTGAGTTTCCAAATTTCATTTGAAAATCCTCACCGCAGCCAGAAATCCGGTGTACCGTTCGAAGTGGCGAGCAAACAAATTCTAAAATTCCTTGGAAATTTGGTTTCTTGTTTTTTCAGTACTCGAAGAACCCTTTTAACGGGGTCTCGAGAGAACCCGAAGATCTCAGGATTCAGGAAGATCTTCGTCCATCAGAATGGAAAGCCAAGTGAGCGTACCTTTGGATATTCGTGTGGTGCATGTGCGAGACTTTTTTTTTTTTGAAAGAAGATAAAAATTATGTCTCCACTCGATGGAATTATATCGAGAGTTTATACCGATTTTTTTTTAAATTTTATTCCGCCAACGAGAGACTCCTGCTCTTTTCACTCTTTCCTTCGCTTTTTACATTTTTCTTCCTTTAACCCCTCACGCCCAACCAAGATGCTGGGAATTTGTTTACGATTCAAGAGGGAGGCTGTCGTCAGTAATTTATTCTCGCTTACGGTATTTTATCCAGACTGCGAACTTCTTGCCCTCGGAGAAAGAAATATAAGAAAATGAAAGGCAAAGAGAAAGAAGGAAGAAGACAGAGAGATAAAAAACAGATAAAAATGAGCTATCACAAACAACCTCTGTATCTGACAGCGGTTTGCTCGACAATGCCAAAACTCCGATAAGAAACAGCTGCAGAGGTAAATTTTCAAACGAAGAATTCTCATTTACAACGAAGACGAGACACAACGAAAATTGCTAAAGGAAAGCGACGAGCGTCGACCACCAGTCGGCCAGTTTCAGAAAATTCCCTACTGCCAACTATACCTATACGCGAGATGACCAATTATCAGCGATACACAGTAATACCCATGGATAAATCCCACCGGCGTCATTTTACAAAAATACCTAGATCCTCATTCGCACTCGACGATTGAATCGTCAAAAATGTTAACGTGCGTTCTACAGCACATCGGTATATCAAAACCGAGAATTTTACCTGTTTCACAAAATGTTTCAAGCCTTGTAAATTCCGAGAATTCCCCAATGAAAATATGTGCCTCGCGCCCTGATAAATAAATGTCACACGCGTTCCACGCCCGATGGCAGCATTTTTCAAGGGACTGTGACAGGTAAGTAATACAATTTAATATCCACTATATTGGTTATACGTGTCACTTTTCAAAGATTATTCATATTACCAGTCTTCACATTCTCATTTCTAATATACTCTGTTCGAACAGAGAAGGCGCGCGAGAATTTCGAATAGACAGGTACATACATAGGAAACGGCGTGATTAAAATCCCCGTTTCGATATGAACCCCCCCTCCCGCCTCCACGCCCCAAGAAAAACGAAATTCCACATCCTACACCTTGGGAATTCAAGGATCCACGTGTATCCGCGCACACGTGCACGTCAAATAGTGCGAGATTCTCCCGTGGGTTAAATAAGCACACAGTCGAGAGTTCCTCCGTTATTCACGTGACGGAGAAGCACGACTAGAATTCTGGATGTGAATCGTTCGAATCACAGTTTATTATGAGAGCCATTCGAGCTCATTAGTGCATCACAACCATATCCAGTGAAAGTTTCCTCTTGGTAGAACTTAACGAGAGTCCCAGGAAACGTATGGAAATACCGAGGAACATCAAATACGGGTCTTATGATACCCGAGGGATATAAAATTTTGAAAAATATAAAATAAAAACATTTCTTCCGACTTACTCCTTGGATACGTCGTGCTCGGGATCGTTTCTGTACCGAAGTCGTAAATTGGTCCTGATGTCATTACTGTCGTTAATATGTCTCACGCCACTCAATTCAGCCGGCAGGAGCAGCGCCACTTCTAGAAATAGACATGAAGAAGAAGAATTAATTCACAGAAGAATTGGCTCTCTCGTTAAAGGACAATGCTATGTGAAACGGTGTATCCCGAATGGAAAGTCTTGGGTTAAATGAGAACAATCGGCCCTTCGAAGTTGACGCAAGGAATAAGGCGGTATTGCAATAAATAATCACGGCTAATCCATTACCCTGTGATTAATTATCTGTCTTCTTTAGCTCCTTTTCATCCTGCTTTCCTTATGGATTTTCTTGTTTTTCATTCGTATTAACCTTATAGCTTCGTTCCATTAATTTACTCTCGGTCTGGTACCTGCGGAAACCCACCTTAATGAACCTTGTTTCGCCCGAGAAAGATTGTCCGGTAAGGTATGAGAACTCTCGTGGAAAATTCGATAAGTCCGTAACAGTTTAAATATGAGGGATCCATTATTTGTACAGTGTCGAGTTAAGCTATCGAATCTGCTATCCACGGTTTTTCAGATCGTCGTAATCTTAGGATAAACCCTCGGAGCAATTGTCGTCGATCAAAGTGGGTGAAATCGTGTAGGCTGGGTTGCTATAGGAATTAGGTATCTAAGAGGAGTCTCGTGTCGATCGTTATCGTACGATCGCTTGAGCCACTACGCAGATAAAACCAGTCCTGACCTTTTTCCCAGATCCCTTCTATATCCTTACTCTCCTCTTCCTCTTATGGGCTACCCTTGATCCTTGCAGAATTGTTTTGTCATTATTGTTATTGTACTAAGGCCTGACAGGGACAAGCCAATCGATAGCATGCGTGGGTTTTGATATTTATATTTTTTCTTTGAAAATATTTCCTTTGGATTTTTAGGAATGGAGCACGCTAAAGGCTTATTATCGTTCGCTGCCTCACCCTTCATGTATTCCTAATTGTCTGATAGTACTTATCAAGATTTCGCACAATGCCGAAGTTAGCACGATTTGGCTATGGTATTCCATCTGAAATGCCACGAAGGATATCTTGCGCGAAATTCCATTCATTGTCTTGGGTAACGAACGTACTAATTACGCTATGGGAATTCAAAGCCAAACGTATAATTTGTTCATGTTAAATTCATCGAACGAACGTTTCTTACCCTTTAGTGCGGATTTTGGATTTCTATGGTGACACTTGGTACCCTGACATCCTCTGTGCTGCACCAACTGCGGACAGTGCTTCCCACCATTTTCGGCAGCTCTCTCGACCATCCTTGATCTGCTTTGAGCACCAGGTCCACATTCGCTGTCGCAGACAGACCATGGACCCCATCCTGAGACAACGCAATCGAGCACTGAAAAAAAGAAAATAGTATCGAACGTTAACAGATTCATGTGACAAAGTTGGACAATATTGTTTAACCAGTTTGAAAGGATTCCTAGGAAACTTTTTTTATGGAGTTAACACCGTCGCTGTTAATGCCATTCGATTGGATGAACAGTAAAAACAAGATAACCGCAGAAAATCTGCTTAAGAACAGCAATATGGAAGGTGAAGAAGGCATTAAGGACATTTTACGACGTAAATCCTGACAGCGCAGTAATCGCATTTCGCAAAAGCCATCTTCTCCACTAAGAAAGTCTCCACACACACCAAGAATACAGTTGAAACCCTGGAGGCGGAATTGCCATCCTCCTGACACGACAACGATTACGTTCGTCAAATCCGCACGATATTAAAACTGTAATTTCGTCAGAACGTGGAATTGCTAGCGATAATAATGAGTAACGAGTGAAGAAAACTTGTGTGCCACTGCGTGCTAGGAAAATTTAAGGGGTTAAAGTACAATGACCGTACGGTTGGCAACTCGTGTACAGTCTATTCTGAGCGAGTGCACGGGTACCAACCGTGAATAAAAAAAAATGAATTTTCAAGTATCCCACCTATCGATCCTCAATAAAAATTAATAGAGGATGTGCCCACGAACACGTGAAGATTTTATCTACGTGATTCGCCTCCGAATAGCCTAATTTTCTCCGTTGGTCATGCAATTTTTTATTTTTTTTTTCCATTTTTAAGCCTAATCAGCTCGCTAACCTTCATCCATTTCCGGTAGACATCTTTCCTTCGATTTTTGATTTTCGTTTGTTCGCTCACTGACGAATCCCAGACATTCGTCTCTAGCAGAAGACAAAAAAACGTCACGAGTAGAATAAGAGAAAAAATCACTTCCGGTGACAGGACGTGTAATTACTTTTTCTCGATTTCGCAAAAAAAAATTCAGAAATTCTTGACAGTATGACACGCAGGAGTCCATCGTCCCAAGAGAATTGGCGGAGCATGTCGTCGCGTCATAAAAATAAACACGGTAATTTATGTGGTATATCCTTTTTTTGAAAAGTGTCAAATTCGAATATCCTCCTGTCAAAATTGATAGCTCGGGCTACGTCTTTAACAGGACGACGCTACGCGTTGTCGACAAGAGCTCAGGCAGTATTGTCGACGGTCCTAGAGGATATCCTCGAGAAGATGCTGGATGATGCGAAGAAGATAGCCGAGGATGCTGGGAAAGGACGCATGTCCTTGGAAGACATAGAAAAGGCCTTAAAGAGACTCTGCCAATGGTTTCATCCGCAAGGATCGATCGCTGCCAAGGACAATAAATTACACAAGCAATCGAACAAGTGATGCGTCATGGGTAAATTTGCCGAAATAAATGTCAAAGTAAATCTGTCAATGTGAACTACTCACTTTTGTACGACCATTTATATTACAATTGACAAAAGCAACAGGTCTGCTCGAGTGAGGATCACTCGAATGAAACGCAAGATGATAGAATCGCGTGGACTTCAATTTTATTTGAGGTTATCGAGGACCCTCTATATCCAGTGCTAAGCTAACCCTCGGGGCCACGCATACGCGCACCCTTATTCCACTCTCATCCCTCTCGCAGCACAGTCCGTTTATTCCCTCAGTAAGGTTTAACGATCGTGCCGACTAGAGTGCCAAATATCCGGGATAATTTTCGGCAGGGTTCAGGTTCGGGTATGAATAAATAAGGTTATGAGGTACGATCGACGGGATCGATGTGGAATCCGAATCGAGTACTTTCCGCGAATGTCGCTTTACCTCCTTTTCATAAAAATGAGCACTCGACGACTAGCTTAATCTACATAACAGAATGTACACAGAATAATTCATATATGACGAGAGAAAAATGTAAGAATACCAAAAGTCAAAGATACTTATTTTTGTTGCAGAGAAATTGACTTTTTTTTTGCTTTTAGGTAATATCAACGATCTTTCACGAGTAAAACTTTTTTTTCTAACCAAAGCTTTTTCGATATAACGAAAGTGGCTGTGTATCACGTCAAAAGTCTTTGTCGAGATTTTCACGTAACTGCCATTAGATCAGATTTCATAATGTCAATGCGAGTCTACCCATTGTACGTCCAAGGGTACATCCGTCTTCAGAGAGTTCGAACTCATTATCGTTTCGCCTTAAAGCAGTGAACTTTCTCTCGTCTACCAAAGGCAGCGTCTGTGAGTCAATCGATAGAGTACAAAGTGAAGTGAAAATGAAAAATTTACGTAAGAGTGAATTTGCAAACGACTGCCTACTCGGGTAGTGACCGAAATAATGATCTGAAGAAGAGTCGCCCTAGGCTTCACGAGGGAATCATAAAGAGCAAAGGGCGAAGGTACAAAAATAAAAATCTCAAAATTCTTATACACCTAGGACTGTCGGAATTAAAAAAAAAATTAGCTGTTGATTTTTGACATGAAAAAAAAAAATTTTCCTTGATCCTGTTTACTTCCTAAAATTCTTTCATGTATGCTGAGTATTCCAACAATATTTATTCCTCTACCTATTTTGTACCTCATGTGCAATCCGACTACCCTATGTGCACGGTAACGTTATTAATTAAAACAATTTCGTGGTGATCGAAGAGCTTCGATAAATGAACATGTCGCGTGGATTTCTTGATACTCCACGTCTACTGCTCGAGACATCTAATACTGTATTAAAGTTTCGCCTAACTCGGATATCTGTAAACCAACCGTTTCATTTGCGACCAACTGAATTCAGCCCTGTTCTCCATCCCCTCCTACGAGAGACCAGTCTCATTAGGGGCTATTCAAGGTTAATTTTCAACCACCCGTATTTCCAGCTGAACTTCTTAACTCTGGTGGAAACATGCCCAAAAGGCTTTCACGGAAAATTAGAATTCCCTGTGGTGTCTGGAGAACTTTTTGCATCTGTTATCCTCTCCAATTTTAGCACGGTAATTCCAACGCACGTATCATTATGTAACGGAGGAGCAATTACACAGCATCCGTATATCTTTCTCCCATGGAGATGCGCCTTGAAGATTCCGTCGAAAATTCCAAGATAATCATCTGAGAGGACAGATAACATGAGGCCAGTATAGGCAATTAGTATTGTTTAGACAGGCTGAAGACATAATCACCAGTTGACTATCTTAAGGTAGTTCTATCGGTACACGTACGAACCAAAAGTTTCGACTGGAACAATAGGTCTTCTACACGTGCAGAGTGCGTCGCTATAATCGTGGCAACAGCGCAATTCCCTTCTGGTAGCTAATGTAGATACGTAGAGATTGATATTAATTATTGGTTGGAATAAAAGTAAAATGTCAAATCGCATACGGTATAAAGGCCGATTTATGAAGAAAAAAACCCGTGATAAGCAGTGGGAGGCTGTTACAGCTATGTGTAAAGCAAATTCAGCCAAACGTCAAGGAGGATCACATAACCTGTTTCGAATCTATTGTAATTTTATAACCTGTTGACTCGTTTAGTATATTTTATTAATATATTCTAATAAATGATGTGTTTCATTCGAAAAAAAAATTATTATTTCAACTTCTTCCCAGAATACCAGAATGCAGGCAATAATAAGTTTCAAATGTATTGGCTATGGCGCGCGCGGACCAGTTAGCTGTTCATACACTGTTGCCGCTTCGTCACCGCTGGTCGTCGCCATATTCGGGTTGGAATGGAATTTATATTTTTTGTATGACGATATCTCCAGTACTATGTGGTCAAACATCGTCATTTTTCTTCGCAATAATCCCACAGTACTACTTTACACCCCACTGTTGTTATTTAAAAATGGTAAGATCCGTTTAGCAGTTATAATGCAGAATGTGTCAGAAGTAGTATCCTTGCGCATGTTAGGTATACGAAGTGTGTATAGAAAGTGCTATTTGTAAAGGCAATTATCTAATAAACTAAATGGTGGGTCGACTTTACAATTTGGAAATCGGTTCATAATAATTGTGTCTACAAAATAATAAAATTTTAGAAGATTCGTAAAAAGAGTGAAAAGCGATAGAACTACGTTAAGAAGTGTAGAGTCTATGGTTTCGAACGAAGACAGTGAATTACAGGGAAATTATCTCGTGCGATTTTGATCTCGACGAGTGTAAAATCAAGTGTCCGTAGCGAATTTAAACGTGTCTTCTGAAAAATGTCGATCCTCAACTGTTGATAAAGATCGGACGTTCGAGTTGTGTAATTGATGATTTTTGTGAATGGCGACCTAGGGGGCAGCACTAAATCTCCTCTAGTCCGCTTAAGTAGATATAGGACAGTGAGTAAAAGGAAAAAAGGAAAGGTCATAAAATGTTTCGATAGGCGCCACCTGTCCCTTAGTCGTCTCCAAAGGATCTCAAAGAGTCCTGGCGCCAAACCCTCCTTTTATCCGCACACACCAGGGTGTTTTTCTCAGGACATGTTGAAAGGTCAGAAAGACGTAGTCCAGTCATTGCCACATAAATTACGAGTCCTGACAGTGATTTACTGAAAATGTATTTTCCTGAAAAAAAGGAAAACAAAAAAAAAGAAAAGAAAGCGAAAAAAATGAAAGATAAAGGCGATGTTTCTTAGTCAAGCAAAATTGTATCAGGAAAACGTCAATTTTCTCGTACCGTCTTTTCCCTTCTACCCATAAAGAATGTCTAACAACATAAAATCTCCAACAAAAATCATCCGAAGGTCCTCCCAGCTGAGAGAACAATCTCGTCGGCAGTCTTGCAAAAATTGGCCGTCATTTCGCGCAAATGAATGAAGCAGACAAGTCAGCTTGTCATCCCCCCGTTCGAAGGAGCAACGACGAAGGTGGCGTGTAAAAGTAAATTAGGGCTGAGGACAAACCTTCCCCAAAATGGCAAAATATCAAACAAAGCAGCTCCCGTCAAGTTTTTGTAGGGTTGTAAACATTTATCGTTATTCTCCTCTCGTTTTCCTACCAAATTTCCCCAGCCACCAGTCATCATTTTCCTGGATCTGCACTCGAACACTTAAAATTTTCCACCACAGTCCTCTCGTTATTATTTCTAATAAAATATTTTACTCAAAAACAAATCAACTACAAACTTCAAAGTCTTACAGTTGTAAATTGGCTTTGCGCTACTACCGGAATATCCGAATTAACTAAATCCTCCCAGGTAAGGATCGTGCTACCAGCAACCCCGTTGCGTACGACCTTTTCAAGTAGTTTTCCCTAGGTGCTCCAGCAGAGTATATCCAAGTGCTCGTATAAGTATGGCCATTTGTATAATAGCGGTCTGGTAATCAGATTGGATTTACGATGACCGTGAAGCACGCTGGAAACTCGATCATTCGCCGTATAACAGTTTGAACGTAGCGAAGAAAGTTTATAGAGAGCATTACGGGACCCCTCGAAAAACTTGGATACAGCGTTAACCGGTAACACCGTAAAGAGACCAGGAAAATTTTCTAGTTTATTTTTATTCCAGTTACCAACATAAAACGCAGCTGCGACGCCTGGCGCTTCTTTCGATCCCTTTTTTTTCCTCCTTCTCGTCAATTCTCCTCGGGCACACAGCTTGGCAACTATATGGATATCCGCGTCTACGTCTGTGCCGAGTACAGAGTAAATTCCAAATGTCTAAAGGGGGTTGAAGGAGGGTAAGTTTATTACCAGCAAACATAACCTTACCTGACCTATACCCTCCATTATAATAATAGACTTATTCAAGAAGTTTCAGACCGTACCTTACCCCCTGCGCTATGTACACAATTTCTAAGAGGGTGGGTCAAACTATTTTAATGGCCAAAAAATTAATTAATTTCCCGCTGTATTTCTCTGTACCACAATTTTTTTCAATTCCCTTCCATTCCTCATTTTTGAATCCTCTTTCTCTTTCTCCCCTCTCAACCCTCGCCGCCACCAACTTCTCAGTCCACTCGAGTCTACTCGAGCGAACGGGGTCGAACGGGGTCTGCTTCTTGGATGAGGGATGAACTTTGCGAGATTATGTTCGCGGAAGATTTCATCCCTTTATATTTACGTCCTCCTATCGGCTAAGCTCCCTCTCCCTCTCTCTATCTTTGTCTCTCTCCCCCTCACGTATATTCTTACTACGACCACGTGCGGATCAGATTCGAGGTAGAAAATTCTTAAGCTCTTCCCCAGAGTCCTACGTTAAAACGGCAAAGTGCCTGGGCGACGAAGTGGTTACCCCTGCGGGAATTAACAGGGCCGTATCAAGTATGCTAACAATGCTATGAACCCTTGAATTCCTACTGGATTACGCAATATAATATACACTTTCACCCTACAGTCTTACAGCTCTGTAGTAGATCTCAAACTTATGCTGCCTACTGTCTATCTCCGACTGTGACTCTGACCTTATATATGTACATGCCGGGCATTTTATATGACACCTGCACGTAATACCGTTTCACGAGAATTTGAACGCCTGATCCATTTGGACGTTAAAACTACCGGGCATTGTCTTAGATTGAATCTGAATTTACGTCAGACGACTGTGAATTGCTCTATTTTATGTATAACGCTGAAACTGTGAATGGCAGATCGCGCAAATGTAATAATCCACGGCATCCAAGCACTCATGGGACACTTAACCTCACTATCGGAGTTTAAAGTCTATATGGAATTGTACCGAACGGTTCTTGTATTACGCATTGAGTCTACGAAGTCAACGAACCCGCGAGAAGCGTCATGGGAAAGATGAAAAAAAAATCATCTAAACGATTCCAAGTGTCGGACTGGCTGTTTGTAACGAGAATAACAAATGCGGTCTGGTGGCTACCAACGCTTGCGGAATTAATTAAAGAAGGGATTACGCAGCCATTTTATGCATATAAATAGGGGATACAGAAATAATTCTTTAGATTGGACAGTTCGATGCTTCGAGATAAATGGTCTGGTTATTTCATTAGTCTTCTCGCTTCTTTTTTTTTTCAAAGCATCTAAGGACTTTACCTACTGCCATACCGAATATATCTTAATTAACTGGTGTAATTAACGAGATTGAAAATGGTTTTAATTAAAAAAAAAATTCATATCCTTTCAGGAGAGTCGACGCTAATTTAATCGCAAGCCAGATGTCTCGTTACTTTAATTATTTCGTTAATTTTTGACGGAGTGAACGAATAGGAACGATCCGTTGCTGTTGTTATTAGATGAGTGAAATTTCATGAAAATTACTAAAGGAGTAGGCCCCTGCAAGTTTCATCGCGAGCGAGTTTTTTCGAATGAAAATGCAATTTTAAGATAAACTTTTTAATATCATTGTAAACGAATTTTATATGTATATATTTAAGTATGCGTATACACATATACATCTGTATTGTATATGTATTTTATATATGTAAACTCTTAGATTTACGTTAGAATCACTCATGCTATACATATATACATCGTATAAGTAAATCTAGCGAAAAATTTACTTGTATCATTTCTCCATCGCGTATAAGCGCGTAAAAATATTCGAGAAACCGTAAAAGAAAAACTCGTAAAGAAATAACCGATGCAAAATCAATTTTCAATTGTAACCCCTGACCCACCAACATGCCACTCACTGAAGTGACCTTAAATTCGCATTTTCGCTTGAATAAAACATCCAAATGCCTGAGAACTTGCGTTAACCGGATGCCAGAGTAATCCTCTGTATATTGAAAAATTCCGTAAAAAGTAAATAAAACGACGAGGACACTATTCCACTTCGTCAAGGTTCGCGCTTCCTTACATAGAAAGGTGTAAAGAAATTCGTAGAATCTCGAAAATTTCTAACCAAGTAAAAACACCGCCAGTAATCTTAACCGCTCTCGGCGTAAACCTGCTGTAAAAGAGTTTCGAGTTTCGTAATAAGTGCCGAGCACGTATTATTATTATCGCTCTCAGAGCGAATCTAATCCTTTCAAGATGGCCGAGGATCGCGTTACCTTTGTCGTATAAAATTCAAAAATGCCTGACAACTATGACGTCGACTCCATTTAACCTCTGCACTAAGCTTAAGCTCCAGTAATTATCAGTCACCCTATACAGCTAACAGACACGTAAAGGATGTCAAAAGACATGTCCTTCGAAGCGTCTTCCAATCTTTCATCCAGTCCATTCCACCGCGTTCCTTGTCCAACTTGCTGTACTTGTTTCTCCTTTACGTTTGTTAATGCAAAAATATGTTCCCACTCCTTAAAACGAATTGTCTGCGTCGGTCATCCACACCAAAACCTGACAAAGACAATGCACCGTATTAGCATGACAATGGAGTGGCACGTACGGCATCAATTAAAGAGCACTGGGAGCGACCGGACAGAACAGACGCACGTACAGACAAAGGACCTTCATTTAGATTAAAACGTCCCATCAAAATGTTAAATGACTCGTGTAGAAGCGCTCAGGGCTACGCGTCGGTTGTATCTGTTGTTCGGTATTATTAGCCAAGGGTAGTTTGTACGTGCGTGAACATTCGAGCCGGCAGTCTCGTCTGCGATCCGGGACGATTAATCACTTTTTAAAAGAGCGCGTCAACGGCCATTCATTTTCATATACCATAAACGGCTGAAGCAGCTTCAAGGAACTCGCACTGATAATTAACTATAGAGCCGACTGATTCACGGACCTTTTAAGTTTTCGACACTCACCTTACGCGTACGACGTTCACTCGGAACACTTTCGACATCGACACTTTTAAATGCATTTTCTCGAAATGCTCGACAGAGTTCAAGTTCAGGATCACCAGCCGGTTATCGTGGACTTTTTTGTATTTTGTATCTTGTACCTTGTTTCTATTTATGATTGAAATCGCCAAGAGACCTGGTGATTCGTAAGAAGAGAGATTATGAGAATAAGAAGATGGGTATAAAGGAAATGAAAAAAAAAAAAAAAAAGTCCAAACCGAACCAGGCTGGGCAACCACTAGGTGGGTCTTGGTGCTATGGAACACATAGGTCTTGTACGAGACTTCTTCAGGACCTCGAGATAAAGGTATCATGGACCTGAGGAAGAGAAGAGGAAGAGGACGAAGAAGAAAGAGAGTGACGACACGAAGAATGAAAAAAAAAGGAGAAAGTGCTCGCGTGTCTACGCGAAGGAAAAGGAGGCAGAGGATAAATGTAGAAAAGGAAGGGAGCGAACGAAAGGAAGAGAAGGAGGCGGCGAAGGCGCAAATAAGAACTGGCTTTAGGTACGTTTGGGTGAACCAGACACCCTGCTGCTCGGGATTAGCATAACCGGCCCTACGGGTCCTTTTTTCGGTACCAGCCCTGCCGGACAATGTCGCGCCATTTTACTTGCTAAGAAGCAGAGAACCCTGGCTCGTCCGTGGTTACTTTTGAAATTGAAAGTTTACCACCGACGTCGGATCGTATACTATGGACGTCTGCTTGTATACTAACTTGATGGAGGCCATTGCCCATTAATCCGTATCGTTAAATCCTCCTTAAACATTCGGCTTGTTGGATTTTAGTAGCGTCCCCAAGCGTGACTCGTGGGAATTGAGAGGTTGTTTAAAACGATTCAAACCCACTGATAGTGTATATTCTCAATGAACGATTTAATGAGATGCCGTACCTTTGGAATACATACGTGTATAACTCTAAGAGTTTCGAAACTCTAAACTTCTGTAATTTAATTTAACAGTTATTTTCAGATACTGGAATCCAGTCAGTTTTCAATGTAAACGTACCGTAATGGGAGTTTCAATGACAATTATTATAATGAATGACAATTTGTCATTAACTCGTCAGGGGCGACAGCAACGAATAGAAAATTAACGAACGTAATGCTCGTTGTATAGGAATACCGATACAGGGTGGGATTATAAAATATTTCATCGGTGCCAGTTTTTACGATCTGACGCGAGCGTCGTCGTCACTTTTTTTTTATGACCCATCGAATACCGAATGATCCGTTTGCAAATGAATTTCGCAAAAACCCAATACTTCGGTATACACGAATATAGTCAGCTATGGCTGGTTCGAATTACGGCTATCAATCCAATCTGGCAGTACTAATCGCTCTTTCATTTACCCGCCACCCCTGCGACGCTTAATCAAAATTATCCGAAAATTACGAGATTTGTCAAATATGACACAACGCCCTGTGCCAACCCTCACAATTAGTTTTACCAGGTGGATGAAGACGCTGGGAATTTGGTGATAACAACCCCATAAAACTCGAAGCAGGGTTACACCCTTGTAACCAAAAATGACCGAACAACTCGGTGCCATACTGGCTGCCCACCAAAATTTCTAAGTCCTACAACCCCCTTATACATCTTTGAATCGTTCGATCGATTCATGAATGCATCATTTTTTTTTCTTTAAAATATTAATTGTCCAAGTAAATGCATAAGACTCGTCGTTACGTATACGGAAATTTAATTCAATTTCGACGGTTATACGAATCGAACGAGAATTATACATACCCTTGAGCAAGCACGTGAGAATCGACAAGGAATCGTTAATCAGTATCGAGAGGGCGAATTTTCCCCAGTCAGGTAAATCAGTCATACAATTTTGTAGTATATAGCCGAGCTCGGTAAAATGTAAAAGAGGATGAAAGAGAATTGAGAAAAGTAAGAGGGTTCAAGAGGGAACCGTAAATTATCATAAAGCGAGAAGGGTGGCAGCATTAAGGGATGGTATGAAAACGCGTTAGAGCGTTACTTTGTATACGTATATATATAAATACCTAAATCTACTACGTGAATAACGTGTCCACCTTGCGAAATAGTTGTCTAACGCAGTTGTCGTGAACGCTGGGAAAATTTATTCGGAAGTCCGTCCGCTGAGTTACTACTTTACCCTCGACCGTAACAGACCGGACACGCTGTTAGGTACATATGTGACCGCAGAATTATATATGAGTACAAGGAGATTTAGAGAGAAGAGATTGTACGTATTTACGGTTGCCAGTAGAGAAGTCAGCGTTTCACAAAGCTACGATAAGAAAAGTTAATAAAGGAAACGTTCAATTTAACAGGAATATTGCACAAGCATCGGAATGAAGGTTTAAGCAGTTGATGAAATTGAAAAAAGAAAAACTTTTCAGTCTTCTCAGTGGAAGTTAGCTAATCTAATAAAGTACACGGGTATTGAATTATAAATTTGTGTAAGAGCACTGCTGCAAGTTCTGACTGTAGAGGAAAGTAAGTTGGTAGGTGGATAAATAGCTGTGAAAAGATTGAAACATACACAAAGGCAGACACAGGCACCCTTCTCTGCAGTCTGAAGGTTTAAAATCTGCTAAAGACTCCATTTACATAAGAACGTCACTCGGCGGAAATGACTTTATAAGGAAATTGGAAAAGCCAAAGTCCTTGTTCTGTCGTCTGATAACGCGTAAGGAAAAAAAAATAATAATAATAACGACTCAAGCCCCGTGTCTATCGATACAGAGTCTTTCGGATTCAAGCATAGCATAGTGTTATGGAAATCTGTGAAAGGTCTATTATACGGAGTAAAAAGTGGGGCCCTGAGCGTCGCGAGGCTGCATACGTGAAGTCAGTGGGTTCTATATCGTAATTGAAGATCGTGTGCGCAACAAGTAAAATTCGCAAGGTTCCCGGTGCACGTATGCCGCAAGTAGAAAGTGTATAAAAATGGCGGGATTAAGAAATTCTGTTCGAAAATAAAAATAAAAGTGTACCGAACGTGCTTCGTGATTCTATAAATATCTTTTCTATAGATTTTTATATTTTGAATACATTTTTTATCATTCATTTCACTCGCGGCATCCCTTTTACGTGCTGTCGTTCAACGCTCTGCTCTACGAGTATGATGGAGCACTTTACCTTCCGGGACAGGAAAAAGAGTTTGAGAGGTCATCGGTAGTAGGTAAGGTTAAAGCGAAGAGAATAAAAGAAATTTAGGAAAAACAAAGAAGAACGAAAAAAAGGCAAAGGGATAAAGAAAAAATACAGAAATGAAAGAGCGGTAAAAGAAAACTACGCGGTAGGGACTTACGCTTGGGGAAACTGGGAAATATAGAAATTCGTCTCGTCTCTCTCGTTAACACGAGAAAGGAGGACGAGGATCCTTCCAAGGTAAAGTTTTCGAGAATGGATAGAGAAGGAGAGATGAAAAAGAAGTGCACGTCACCGAGAGACCCTCTGGGGTTATAGTGAGTATAGAGGGAGTTAGTTTTGAGAGGGTTGGACAAGTCAACCCAGTTTCAAAAGTCTCCAGTGAGTTTCCGGTACTCGGTTATTACATATAGTACCTGTACACAGTGCTGCCTGTAACGTTAGTACGTTGACGTTCCCCTCTTTCTCTTTACTTCTTTCTCGCCCACGCTTTATCCCTTTTACTCTTTATATATACTCGAGTGCTCACTCACCGCCGCATGCATCCTTGAAGTCGTGACAGCAGTCGCCCAGCTTGAGACACGCGTGATCGCAATAACACGGCTTATCGGTAAGCACTTGTATTATGGCGTTAGGTGACGTCTTCTGCACGACACACGCGGAGTCCCGTCCAGGACAGCAGAGTTTAGCCTCGGCGCAGCTTCCAGCGGAGGCGCAGCCCAAGATGCCGGCGAGTGTCAGACAACCAAGTATCGTCTGCCAATGCATTGTCGTTGGTGTCCTCTTGGGGAATTTGAAAGAAAATAATTTTCTAATAGTCGCGTACACGACGAAAGAATTTTTCAATCCCGCGACCACTTATGGCAACTACAGTTAGACCGGAATCACGTAGCAAGTAAATGGTCTCTAGTTCTCCATGCGCGGTGATGAAGTTCTGATTAGTTTTTGAAGATTGTTCAGCCTCAAGCTTCAAGGCGCTGATGAAGTATCTGCCTGCAGGACCTCGAGGCTTGTGCGGCCTACGCAATGCAACTGCGCCGCGCCAGTAGGTGCACCAGAGTTAAAAGCTGAATCTTCCCCATAGAATTGCCCCACCACTAGACCACGTTCCACACCATGGGACCGGACCGTATGGTGTGCGGCGAACGGACGACTGGGACGCCTGGCGTCCCGGCGCACCTTGATGGCAGCGACGTCCTCGTTTGACGCACGGGCATGCGCCAAATAGGACTTTAAACCTTTATTTACTTTATGCGAGTACCAAGTGCCTACCTGCCTGTATGAATGCCTGTCTCTCCTCATTATGAACAACATGTGACTTAAGCAATTGTACATCTGAATTATATACATGAGGTGCTCTTTGACATTGTTATACAGTCATTGTCCGTGCTTACGCGTTTGTTACATTTCAATTTATTTATACCAACGGTACGATATCTTTGATAATTTTATAGGAATTTCATATATAGATTATGAAATTAATACTGTTAATGTTGACCAAAGAATTTGTGGGTTACCTTGCTCCAATGGTTCTCGTAATTAATGCACTGGGCTTATGTAAACGTATATGAGTTATACACGGAATGTATATCTCGCGAAATTAATTTCGAGTTTTGAGCTAAATATGGGTATTTCAGAGGGAAAGCTGTAACGAATAGATGCATTATGATATTCTGCATTTCTTTGTCTGTTGCTCGGAATTTGTAAATACTGATGTTCAACGTTGAAGGAATAATTGGAATAAAATGAATAATATTAACGGCATTATTTAATTTTAACCCGAGTAGAGTTTATGTAATGCATGTTTCATTATAGAGAAAATTATTTTATTATGATACAAAAACTGCATCAATTTTAACAGGCGTTCCTGCTAATGCGTATTTAATTTGTGACAAAATATCTTTCCGGCTTAGAGTGATGTGATCTAATATTGCTGTAGATCCTAAACGAATGATGACGTTCGATGTTATTTACACGTGAAATTTAATTCTCTGAGCACAACTCTGACGGTCCTAATAGACACTCGAGTACGAGAGGAATGGAGTAACCTGCTTACGGTTCGTTGGATTTATCAGCAAAATATTCTAATTGACGGAGAAGTAATGATATTTACCTCCCGTCAACAGCGTTACATTTCCCACTAACCCTTCGATTCTGGCGAATCAAGACCCATGGTGCTTTCGAATTATTGCAGAGTTCTAAATCTGTGATCAGACAGAAATATATATATATATAACACATATCTACACACACACATATAAAAGATATCCTCACTATCTATTACCTTTCATATCCTTATGTGTAAAGTTTTGTAAATACGGATGTCCTACGGGCATACAGCTGTAATAAATCGGATATTAGAATTCGACTATGGTATAGATCAAACGTTTTAATAAAGCAACCAAATAAATAGACTGACCGGAAACTCGGGTTGCTACGAAACATCAATCCTTTGCCGATAGCGAGAGTTTCGCTGTGAAGACACTAGGTTGCACACGTGGCAGTTTTACAACCGTGAGAATAGTCGTCCAAACAAAAGTGAACGAAAAGAAGTAGAGTAAACATGGCCGTCTGAACTTCTCCGTATAGACAACCGGACTGACTACTGACGGGGTACGGTACGACTTATTATTAGTCTTTACCGTGAGCTACCGTCGTAATTAGGTGCTTGTTTGACTTTTAGTTGTATTGTAACTAGTCGAAAACAGTTGTCTATACTATTTTACTTAGGAAAGATGGATTTCCGTTGAATATATTTACCAAATCACCAGTTTACTCCAAGGAATGCATTGTAGGTGAATTTACTCATCCATGTCTTTTGCTAAACCTCAGCGACAGTGACGACAACATGATTCTGAAATTGAATACAATGCATATACTATATATAATATATGAATAGTATAGTGGCGTGCCAATGTATATATGACAAAGATATGCAATAAATATGAATGATGAATCCCTTGACAGTCGTCAATCAGGAATAATGCATAATAAATAAAGTTATGAGTACACAGTTGTACATGTCTGTATAATTTTCATTAAGAATACTTCCTTTTTTTTGTTATTGTTGTCATGTTCCTTGTAAAATAAGAAAAGTAAAAAATAAAATCTTTGTACTTGCCCATTTTATTCGACTCTACGGTTGGTTGACAGTTATTCAATTTGCATATTATCAAAATACAATTTAGGAATAATATACGAAAATTCATAATCGAGCCGCGACAACAAAGAATGTTAACGCGACATGTGCTCTGTGTCATGATTTACGAATATTTTTGTAGAGGTTCAGCTGCTTTATGCAAAAGGGCACTGTGGATATATGGACCTTTGGATTTTGTAAGCTGGGACACAGATGAATATCATATCTGTTACTAATTTACCCAATTGCAGTTGTTATTAGGGGGAGTGTGTCTGTTGCTCGTGACAAGCATATTAATTATAGGTGTAATTAATGAAATGTGTATCGTGACCCTATTACATATATGTATATATACGAGACAAATAGACATGATACCACATTCACTCGGTCGAACAATATTCTTCCTTTTTTTTCCAATTTAGCGTTAAATAGATATTCATAGGACAACCTTGGAAAAGTTATAAAGTAAGTCGGAAAAAACTATTAAAAAAAATTGTATTGGGATTTTAGGTTTTTTAAGACACGATACTGTATGTACTGTCTGAGGTAGTAATCTTGTACATCATAAATCTATTTAGTAACTATTACCGTTTTTATAAGGGTTATTGCCAGTAACAGTATGAAGTTATAGTTGCTACCTTTGGAAGATTTTTGATACTGTAGATTGTATTTTAAACTTGCAACTGCCCGTCTGCCTGGTTCTATTGTTGGAAAGGAAGAAGATCTAAAAACGTCTATGTAGTAATTGGTAATAGTCGCAGGTATTATATCAACTTTCAGGGATATTGTCAAAGATGGCACTAGATTCGTAGACAGTGCTGTCATCTTTTGACTTTATATGGTACATTTTGAAGCCTGGCACATGATCAGTGTCATGCAAGGTGTCATGTTGCGAGTGACAGTCTTTCAATCAGTTGATTATTCTTAAGGTTAATTGGACAGTGGGAGTGTTTCAGTGGGATATCAGAGACAGTAATAGTGGTGCTTATTACGTAAAGCCAAAAATTTTCGAGATGTCTGGTCATAATTATTTGAGTGACCCAAAGAATCCATTTTTCTCCTTAGAGGATGATGTGGATGACGAAACCTTTTTGCGAAATGCTCCCTCAAGACCTTCTGGGCCAAACAATTACTCCACTGGAAATCACTACACTAATTTTGATAATGAATTGGAACAGAAACATCAGCAGTTGGTAGCACGCAGAAGAGCTATTGAGGATAGGACGATCCAGTCATCCGAGAGGTCTATATCTCTACTGAGGGATTCAGAACAAATTGGAGCTGCTACAGCTGAGGTATACTTATTTATTTTAAAAGTTTAAATGTATTATTAGGTCTGTTTTTGGTATCTGGTGTCAAATTTCTTGGTAAAACTGCAGAATACGACTCCTTCTTGAAGGACTATATGTAAAAAACACTAAACAGTGCATAGCTAACTTCATAAAGGAATCGTAGTTTGTAGTTTAGCCAATTCCTTCTATCGCATATTGCATATAAGGACAGACTGCTCACCTAATCTTGGCAAGAATAGAAAGTAGTATATATTCTTTGTTTTAGGAACTTGTCAGACAGAGGGAACAATTAGAGCGCACAGAAGAAAGATTGGATGATATAAATAGCACATTGCGATTTAGTCAAAAACATATTCAAGGTATAAAGAGTGTTTTTGGTAGTCTTAAAAATTATCTTAGTGGCAAGTCAATAGATGCACCAACACCGAGTGCTTCTATTGGCACTAAATTATCAGAGTCTACAAGCTCAGGATCGCTAACTTCTGGTACACTCAAGAGTACCGTAGAGAAAAGTCAGGCACATTTAGCCGCAAACCATCCATCCTTACGTATTAAAGGCCTCTTAGATGATGACTATGACAACGAACAAAAATCGGCCACGAAAAATGTTAGCGCAGTATTAGAGAAAAACTTAGATGAGATGAGTGGTTCTTTGGCACGATTGAAAGGATTAGCCATTGGGTTATCGGAAGAAATAGATGCACAGAATGATTTAATTGAGAATATTATGGACAAGACAGAAACTGCTGATATGACATTGCAGAAACAAAACAAAGATATTAAACACCTGTTAAAGAAGTAAGGCCTGACACTAAATGTATAAGAAATAATGTGAAAGACTATGTGGACTCGAACTTTGGTTTTCTGTGATGAAACTATTAGATTATGAATCTTAATACCATTAAATATGTTTTTCTGACCTTATGCCTTATCGAAATCATTGTCAAATATTCAATCTTTTACCTTTTCTCTTAATACATCGATTGGTAAAAGCCTATATAAACACTTAACACTGACACAGCAACTCGTGATAATCCATAGGTTCCTCAGTAATCATACGTTCATATTAAAGTCTGTAGTTGGTTTTAATACAATGTCCTACAAAGTAGAAAGCATTTATATAGTATATATATATATACAGGGTGAATCACGAATCGTGATCAGTAGAGATTACTTTGTTATTAGCATTCCGATCGAAAATGTTTTTATCAGCTTTTGCATGGTTTCAAGAGAGCTTTAACGTGATAGTGAAAAATTACTGGTCAACTCTTTTTTTAAATGTTTTTTCAAGGTTACCTTGAATTTTTTGCAACTGAACATATAATTTTTTTACGCCTGTCTGTTAGGGGATTTCAAGACGAATTCGGCACATGTAAGGACATGACATTTTTTTCATCTGATTCGAAATAAAATTAAAAAACTTTGTATCAACACCGAGAATCACAGCTGCGCCGTTATTACGCAACCAATGTTGTTGACAAGTCAAAATTTACCAATTTAATTGTAGCGATGTTCAAAATGGAGTCCACGGGTTGCAATGCACTCGCGTGGACGGTGAACAAAAGATTGTTTTGCATTCTTTATGGTCTCTACACTGATGGTTGAGCATGCATCCGCAATCCTTCGTCGCATATCTTCCAGTGTTGTTGGAGCATCTGCATAAACTTTGTCTTTTAATGTACCCCACAAAAAGTAATCTAATGAAGTAAGATCGTTAAGTAATTTTGACTTTTCAACAACATTGGATGCGTAATAATGGCGTAGCTGTGATTCTCCTTGCGATACAAAGTTTTTGAATTTTCTTTCGAATCAGACGAAAAAAATGCCATGTCCTTACATGTACCGAATTCGTCTTGTAATCCCCTAACAGACAGGCGTAAAAAAATTATATGTTCAGTTGCAAAAAATTCAAGGTAACCTTGAAAAAACATTTAAAAAAAGAGTTGACCAGTAATTTTTCACTATCACGTTAAAGCTCTCTTGAAACCATGCAAAAGCTGATAAAAACATTTTCGATCGGAATGCTAATAACAAAGTAATCTCTACTGATCACGATTCGTGATTCACCCTGTATATATATATACACACAATATATATATAATATATATGTCATAAATATATATCACAGCCACTGGAGATACCATCTCAATGAATGTATGAATTTCAAATGAAAAATCATGATACTTCGACAGATCTTTTTATCAATTTGCCGGGATGTATGAAGAATTGCAAAAAATAATTTTGCAATGCTTCAAATGTATCGGCTATACCATCAAATGCAAGGTGTAAAAGTTACTTTTGTTATATACGGGATGCTCAACATGACTGCCCCTTTTATTAAATATATTATATTAATGTACTATGTATTTCAGTACCAATAAAATTCATACTTAAAGATAAAACTAATGAAAAAGGGGTGTTGTCTATTAATTTAAATATAGTGCAATATATTTTATTGTTCTACTACAATGTTAATAACTAATACAACATTTTGATTAAGAAATTTATTCATTGCGCTTTCGACCTTTCTTTTTAAGAATTTCCATTGACAGCAGCATTCATTCCATTTACTAAAATATAAAACATGGTTTAGTTCTATTGTGTACAGAAACAAATAGTCATAATATTTTTTAGGTAAGTTTTTTTACCTTGTTCATCGGTTTGACTACTGCCACTGCCACCATTTCCATTACCCCGAGTAGGAGGTGGTCCTCGTCCTCGGCAAGCAGGATTTCTTCCATCATGATTAAATCCTACAGCCGCATGATCATGTTTTTCCACAGACATTGAGTACTATTGGAGAAAAATAAACAGATTGATCGAACCGTTACAATTAAATGTTAAAACCATCGACGTATAGTACGAACTACGCATAGAGACATAGGAAACATGGTTGGCTGAAAGAAAAATATAGCGGCTGGTGGCGGTTAAGCCCTGGTCTCTTTCTAATTAGCAGCCGTAGTACGAAAATATAGAAAACATAGCCAATAGGAACATTAAAAAAGGAGAGCGATTGGTCGCCACCTCATTCCCTCCTTATTTATTTAAGCGGACATTTTTCAAAGGATCTAAAGTAGGGATCACGTAGTCCATACTATATCTCGATGGTTAAAACCAAGAACTTTAATCATCTTACCGTTAATCCCACCAAAAGGAAACAAAACAAAACTAATGATAAGAGCTTCATTTCTTTTAAATTTCACAACTGCTGTTCGGAAAACTGAGCCCTCTCTAGTGGAGTACGCATTTTTATATAAAATCCATGGCCATTGTTGAGATTTATCTACGATCAAAATATCATTTACCACAACAACACATCCGCAGAGAACTGAGGATATTTTTCTCTCGTGACGTTCGTCATGCATGGGATTATTACGAATTGCACCGGGCATAATACAATTAATGACTTTACTCGTTCAGTATATTCCTGGCGATGAGTTTACTGCAATGGTTGGATAAGTTACAAAATCAGACCACTTTTTTAAAATGTTTTACACAATGTCTCCAGTGACAAACAAATTAATATTAATCACCGGATATTATTTGGAGATTCCAGGGATCTCTGACAACACTACATTTTTCTATTCACAAATGACAAATTTAAGTTAATTGTTAAATCACATTTATTTCAATGTCACTGAAACGTATCTGTCAGTATTATAATACAATTTGAGTATTTCGCAATAATTCGCACAAGTGAGATAGCGACGAAAGGACGTTAACTTAATTCCTAACAATATAAAGACAATCGTCAAAATTAATAACTATACTCTAATGGGACCTCATTTGGTACAGATGTCGCTTCGAACGCCAAACGTTCTGCTTCCCTCTGCGCAGCAATTTCTGCGTGTTCTTGTGCGATTTTCTGGAACAGCTGTAGATGTTTGTCTTTCGCCCTGGTTACACTAGCAGAATCCTACAATAAAATAACAACCAATCAAGACGACTGCATCTATCTGCTAGACGTGAAAAATTGTGGGCAGTATATAAAACTGACAAATAAATTGAAAAAAAAACGTAAATAAACATGGAGCAATTACCGCTGGCACATGAGGGGGAATTCCTTGAGCATTCGCATTGGCAATTCTTTCGTAAAGAGCATAATGCTTTTCCTTGGCAAGTTTAACGGCTTCGGAGTCTGTAGGAGTCACCAGAGTGTCCTCGAAGTTCGTCAAGGAAGGATGGAAGCCATTGGCATCAGCCACGTAATCAACGGTTCTCACTTTGTGCTTTGGATCTATATACGAGTAAGAACCTACAACAGAATAAAATAAGATATTACTTTGAAATTGTAAAAGAAAAAATAACTTGAAACTCTTCGAAAAGTTCGACAGATTATCTTTGTTTACTTTTTCCAAGCAATTATTTTGAACGTAGACAAAATACGAACGAATTGAGATTAAAAACATCATAACCTCCCAGATAACAACTAGGGTGCAAATATCACAGCAACCGATCAGCAGGACATTGTACAGATTGTTGTGAAAACCATAGAACAATGTATACTCATTTGTTGCCATATTTGCAGCAATATATAACTATTATAATTCCAATAATAAGAGTTTATAAGCATTTTAGCCATGATTTATTAAAATCGTGAAATAAAAAAAATAATTCATTCCTAAGAATTTCCTAACAAAATATTCTTTTGTTCAAGCAATTATTTATTATAGAATATTTTCAAAATAGACTCACAAAAGTAACACGAAATGAATTGCTTTGCTTGTAATTATGCCACTATTTTTTGCCTATTTGCTAATATTATTTAAAAAAATTTTTTATTAATACTAAATTTAAAACATGCTCTTAGGAAATCTTTGCCGTAAAAGTAAGTCAACTGTTTTGCACAGACATTTTGTGTTATCTGAATTTACAATTTATATCGTATTAAACATACCATGAACAATTCCGGAACCATCGCCAGCTTCCTGATGAACTCGATCGATTTGTCCAGGGTAACGTCCTGCTTGATATTTAAAGCTGTATGGTTTTGGGGGTGGTGGCGGAGTGGTTACTTCCAAATTTTCCGTTGAGTATTTGCCATAAACCTCAAGAGCCCAAGAGCCCATGCACGTGTTCGAAAGAACAAGGGCAGTCTCAAATAAAAAAAATATTTAATTAAATTACACAAGCAGCATAAACGACTTGATCAGAATTAACGACCATGGCCGAATAATTCATAAAAAGGAATGTATGGTCCATTTTAATAAAGTGACCTTCTCGTTACGTCTTTGATGCAACAACGTGCTAGAAGCGAATCCATACCGGATACGAAAACTCGCTGCTTTCTAAATGTCTGACATTTTAATACGTTCGAATTCGATAATCTTTATTATACTTACGGCACACCATTGTATCTTTGAGAAAATAACCATAGAGATAAAAACTGAATGTAATTAATATCAAAATAATTTTTTCTAGCTATTATATAATCTATATACAACTTTACATTTAAACGATTAATAGCGTTACGCAGACGAGAATTCTGCTAACCTTGATCTTCTTGCACGGAACGTTAAGGCAAAAGTAAAGAAACTGCCAAGTCGTTAAATCTGCTGTACATCAGAATATTCTAACCTCTCATTACTTACCACGACAATATTCATTTTTCTTAGTAAAGTAAACTCTAACGATCTTAACGTTTTCGCAACCAGTTGTATACTGAGTCGATATTCTCTTCAGTGAAAGTCATATAAGAAACATTGAGGAAAAAGTGGAGGCAAGACTTTAAGCTCCTTTCACAACGAATGCGGTTAGGTTGCTCGATTATTTACATGATGTAATGAGAGCGCCGTGAATTTTGACTTATTTATATTCTAATGATATTTTATATTCCTTAATGAATATCTATATGTGAGAAATATTTTTATCCACCCTGAGAGTCACTATTTCACTTAGGATTATTATACTTTTACGCAATTGTGAACGCACTTTAATGAAATCTCGGATGATTCAATCCTCATTACAATTTGTCAATGACTAAAGAGAATTTGCATTACTACGCACTTACGGAAAACACAGAATTACCTCTGTATGAAATTATTACCTATTGTAGATTACGAAATGACTTGTAAAAGTTTCATCTATTTTTGATAAATGATATTTTAGATTAATAAGAATCTCTTTAGTTTCGCCGGAATGTCAAGGTCTTGTTCATGCTTTCATAGCATGAAAGGGGTCAAAGGTTAGATCGCATTGCATGTTTCGTTTTAAAGTGTATATGATATTTAGAAACACGTAACTACTACTTATAACTAGATAACTGTATTCCAAGCAACAATAATTGCGTAAAATACAAAGATGATATGTGAAAAGTAAAGAACGTCGATTCGTTGATAATATGGAAAAGAAAAAAAAAACGAACCTTTATCCAAACATTTTTATCTAATTTTACACTACAGGTGTTAGCATTATTTAATAGACGTTGTAAATATTATAAAATATACTTAAAAAAAAAACAGCTGTTAAACCCATTTAAAATGCATAGATCCGTTAATACGCTTCAATAGCATAAAGTGTGATCAGGACGACAAAGTTTAATTAATCACGAGTTAATCAATTTCAAGTTTCTTGAAGCTTCCCTCCACACCAAAAATATCAGTAACGTTCTTGGCCTTGCCAGGTCTCAGAGTTTCGTTAACGCGATGATTTGCTTCATCGTCCTGAAACCAGCTTCGATGTTCCTCCAATTTTTTAATACTGGCAGCATGAAGGTCCTTCATACTTCCAGCCTTTCCTCCAAGTTCATTGGGCAATATTTCTAATGGTATGTGTTTTTCCAGACTGTCTTTCGTGGAGTGAACGAAGAGCTATAACGATATCAAGGTTTTAAAAAAAATTATTAATAATTCAACACAAATTGAATTTTCTTGTAGGAATTGCTAATTTTTAAATACACGGAATCAAATGTTTTTTTAAGACTTTCTTTCGAGGAATTAACCAAATGAAATATCCAAAATAAAAAAAAATCAATTATTCAATGCAAATTGCATTTTCAAATAGGAATTGATCATTTGTAGATTAATCCGTTTGCCTGATAAAATTCTTATGTGACTATGTTATTCTTACCATATCCATTAAACTCTTTTTCATGAAGGGTTTCATCATACCAAGGATAACATCCATCACAGGAGTAGTGTTCATGAAGTGTAATCCCTTGAGCCGAACAGGAAGACCTTCTTGAAGATAGTAAAGAAACTTTTTCAACCCCATAGGACTGAGTCGACCAGCATGGCCGAAGACGACGCCCTCCATATCAATAAGAATTATGTGCCCAGGGAGAGTTCCTTCCCCAAGCATCCACAGATCAAGGACCATACAGAAGTACTTCATGCAATCATTATATACGTAATGAGACGGATCTAAGTCAATTAGTTTACCAAAGATGATTTTATGACCGTCTCTCGTTGTACCATCCAGAGACGTGTGCACCCTTAAAAAAAGTATATCCAACGAACTTTTTATGGTAAAAGAAAAAACGCTAATATTCCGTATACGTGGTAGAAATAAGTTTTATCTATTTTTTTTAAATTAAAAAAATTGTAAAAACTTACGCAACGTTAAAAGCATGTCGCAATTCTTTTTGTCCCATTGGATCTCTGTTAGAGAAAAATTCTGGTACGTGCGTTCGCACGGTGTAATATACGTCAATGGTAGATTTGGTTGATTCAATGCTGTAGTAATTACTGTGTAAAAAAAGGGCCAACTCGCTGTCCGTGATATTTGGTAAATGCGGTTGCTTCTGGCACCATTCTCTTAAGGATTGAATATCTGCTTTCTTTAATTCAGGATTTCGCTTCTGCTCCTCCTCTAGACTTACTAGTTGAAGCAGTGCCATTTTTAATTGCCTTGTTTTCTGCAACGAGCTAATTATGTGAAGTTACATCGTTTAATTATTTTATTCTCACTTTACTGGTCAACGTGTATCGACAATTAAATTAAATTACGACTCCTTTAATAATCAAGTTCCAGTCAGACCCACTTTATCAAATCATACGCATCTGTCGTTCTATCAACGTTATAAGATCAATTGCGCAATAAAAGACTCATCAATCTACCGTACATCATATTCTTTTAGATAACCATCTTGATCATGATAAACAATCAAGAATAGCATATTCAGATTTTGCATGTATAAATAATCGAGTAGGTTGAATAAAAAATTGTTTTAATGAAATTCATACGAAATTTTGCAAAAATCACATGTCGCTTTTTTTAAAATATGTTATCAGTTATAATATTTTTATTATTTATATATTTGTATGTAATATGCCATTTTATTGACTTTAATGAGTTACTCTTTCTTTAATTGATTCAATACATTTTTTTATAGTTAATTTCATGTCTGTGTAAGGATTTTGGCTCTTACTTCTTTTTTTCTTCAAGGATCCAGATACTGCCACAAATATCAAAACGTGTTCTTGGGCCAACGATTCTTATAGTACTGAGAACCGACGGGTAGTCAATTTTAATTGAGTACTTGGCTCTTACAGTCCCTGACGACGTGCGTCTCGTGCAATATTAGCTGGCGTGACCAAAGTAACATAACAGCATGCAGAAAAAAAGGGTAGGACGAAAGAAGAAAAACTTGAGAAATATTCATACAATGATTCTTGGAATATTTCTCTGTCAATTTTAGATATATTATTTAGTTTATTAGTAGTTATGCTCCTATGCGTCAGTCGCATAGAGTTAAAAGTAAAGATTTATGCAACAGACCCTGTATATAATAGGTATACATATATATTATACATGTGTATAGATATATTACCTGGCGATTAGACACTCGCCTAAAATAGTTGTGTCATTCCAAGCAATGTTTGTCATTGAGAAATGATAGTGTCTATGGTAGTCTCGTGGTGCACATACATAATACGTTCAAAGGAACTATTATGATATATTGTGTTGCAAGGAAAATACTTGACTCGTAATTCTGTCTTTTTTTTCTTTTCATATAATGATACATTATTATTTTTCGTTGCATTGCGATTCAAGCAATGCATTTTCTTATGGACGTTTCAAGCACACAGGAGTAAATTGTCAGTTTGCGTTGATGGGATAAATAATACAGTAGAAAGTAGTTAACGGTGAGAAAAATAAAAAGATCGTTGACTAGAACTTGTCGTGTACAGAAAAAAGACCACGCCATGTTTTTTAATAACGCAAGCATATTTAGATTTTGTTTGCATTGTTCATCGCGCGGATATTATCTAATCGTTAGCTGGTCATTTCATTTTGATAGATTTTCCTTGAATTCTAACGTGAAATGTGTACGTTCAAATTTGTTTCGTTCGAAAGATAATCAATAGCTCCTTGTTTTCCGGGACGTTTACGCTTTTCCAAATGGCATCCGGTTAGCGGTAAGAATAAATAGGTCATTCAATGGAGCGTGCCGGTGGATATATAGCAAAGAAGAAAAAAACAGATCGATAAATCGCCAGAAGACCAAGGGACGGAAAAAGGGTTCGCGTGTATATCTACCAGGGAAGTGATGCTGCCACCTTGAGGTTACCCTGGAAACGGCATTTATGTACGGAAAATGCGGAAAGGCAGTTGTCGTTCAAGAAACGTGCTTTTGAATTGTAGCGCGGATAGTGCTGCTGCCTGGTGGCAACCGTTGGATTCTGTTTTCAAAAGACAGCACCCTATGTCCTGAGGCCGAAATCGATGACACTTGGATAATAAGTTATAACGGTCATTTAAGTACGTGTATTCTACGTGTATTGGATTCAGAGAATCTGCCGGATAACGGACAGGAAATTAGTGCAAAATGGAATCTGCTATTGTGCATCTCGAACAGAGTGTGAGTTGCGTTATTATTAATTTCCGGCTAACCTTGCGAAAGTACATTTGAGTTTTTTAGATGAATATTTCATACGTGATTCTTGGGAATCTAGGTCCAGAAGGCTGACGGCAAGCTCGACATGATTGCTTGGCAGATTGACAGCTTTGAAAAGGAGTTTCAAGATCCTGATAATGAAGTAACGTACATTGATTTATTAGTATTTATTTTTAAATTGCAAGGCAAGTGTTCATTAGTTCTACCTTGACCTGCCTTAATGGATGCTGTAATGTTGTATTCTTTGAAATTAATTCTATATTTTCGTACATGTGATTACTTATTTTAATATTAAAGAGATTAGTACAGTATTTTTTCCTTTATAATTTTATAGATAGGTGCCGTCTAAGGAACTGCTATCTTTAGCTATTCACATTTGAAATCGCAGATATAATTTTAATACTTTGCATGCTATTTTGAACAGATATCTGTCCTTAGACTGTTGCGCTCAGTGACTCAGGTTAAGGAGGAATATCAGACGCTGCGCCAAGATATCCTGGAGGTGCAGCAGCTCCAGAAGCAACTTTCGGAGTCTTTAAGAGCTCAACTCTTGCAGGTGCAAGGACACTTCAATATTTTGCGTAACAAAATAGTTGGTCCTAACAAAACACCACAGCTAAAATAAAAATGGGGAACTTAGATATTTAGATAATTTTTATTTTATTTGTTTAAGTTTCAGGTATAAGTACATTATGTTGCTGAATTTATATTTATTTTTAAATTGATTTTCAATGCCAAAACTTAAAAAAAATCTTTTGTAATAAATAATTTGCCTTATACTAATGAGCTAACTTAAACCATAAACTATGGAAATAAATTGCACACAACCAGGTAGCTTGCGAGGCAGATTATTTGTCAAGTCAAAATTGCTAATTTCTTACATGTTGTTTTCAAATTTTACTGATCCATTAACAGCATGACAGGGAACAAATGGAAAAACTGACAAATAAACTATCTGACACATGCTTTACTTGTGGTGCTGGGGCCAATGGAAACCAACAACTTTTTGTTTGAGATTATTTGTTTGTAATCAGTGAAATTTGAAAACAATTTAAACTTTATATGAGTTCACTCTAGAGTTGCATACCGAAAATAATGTTTTCTATTTATTTTCGCTACGTCTTTATTTGTCTTTCAAACTTGTATGGAAAAATAATTCCAAAATCTTGCACTGCATTTTTCTAATAATTCTACCACTGTATTCTTATTAGAAAATCTTGAAAAACAAAATTATGTACGCAATACTGCATTGAGAATGTTTACTGTATATGAAGAGGTAAAAAAATTCTTTGTTGGGTTGAAGAAAATAATTCAATGTTAAATGCAGTAAATCCAACAAGGTGAAACTAGCAAAATAATATAAAGTAATGAAATTAATAATGCCTTAAAACATAGGTGCGCATTTAATGGGACTATGTGTACTATCTTTAACACTATGTATACTGTTACTATTACAGCGTAAACAATAACGATCCGTTACCTTTTAACGTAACTAAACTATTATTAATTACTATTAGTAAACCATCCAAACCGTAACGTTTTGTCGATAGTTGATACACCAGCCTTTTCAAAAGTGATTTGGCCTACTTTAATACTATGGCACCTACAATAATATACAATCTCATATTACGGTTTAACTGTACTTAACTACAAAATTTTTATCTATTCAATCTATTAGAAATACAGCACCGCCTAGTTTTTCCTTACTACTTTTGAAATTACTGTGACTTTCAACAAAACGTTATACCGTGGCTGATATGTATTTCACACAATCTGCAACGTATCAGCGTACATTTACGAAGTACGTTGCACGAGTAGCATTAAACAAAGTCAATTTTTCGCAATAAGACAATTGAATATCAATTCAGTCACGTATGGTTTGCTGATATTTATTAAGAAAGTGTTAGGTTTCCTATGCACAACTAACAATAAAGTATATTTCCATTGAGTGTCGCGAGGTCTTCGAGATGAGTTCAAAGTATCTGCCAAAGTATAGAGAAAATGTAAAACCATTTCTATAGGTTATAAAAATACCAATGGCTAATTGAACTCAATACGAAGAACCGACACTGTAACGTAAACCTACCTTTACTTAAAATCAAAATACTTAACGAAGAGAAGAATGGTCTGGAACGCATTCGAAATGTGCCAAATAATGTTGGTCAATTAGTTTGGACTTTTGAGTGATAACACACAATGAGACGTGCTCAGAAGTCATAAACGACACTTAGCACGGAGAAAGCTGTTTGGAATAGTATTACTATTTTTTTTATTTTCCAACTCCAACTAATGTGCCAATGATTTTTGATCGATCTGTACAATATTCTGAATTCAGAAGTAAAGTAGACTCTAAGAAATTTTTAAAATTGTTAGTCTACATATCACAGTATCAGCCTTCTCCGATTTAGAATTTAAAATCATTTTTTTATTTCTTATTCTTGTCCTCTCCTTTAATCATGTAACGCAGACAATGAAATATTCTAGTAGAATATACAGGGTGTTTTTTAAAGGCGCAATATAGCCTGTAATGTTCTTGATATAATATTCAGTGGACACGTAACATGTAGCGGACCAGTCAATGCTAATTATTATAATTGTAAACATACATAGCGTCTTCCGAATATATATTTAATATATGTACTACTACTTTAACACGCGATTGTAGCACTATGTCGCCTCTTTAGAAAAACACCCTTCAATGTATCCACCCGTAATACATTTATCTTCATTTTTATTGATTTTATTTATTTTTTTACAAATCACCATTCATGAACATGTTTTTCCTTTTTAACTATTTCTCGTATATACTAACAGATACGTATGTATTTGTACACCTAAGTTTACACCTTATCGATTTTTCAATTTTTGCACTGAACGCACCCTAACCTTTGATAAACTGTCAATTGAACAGGCCAATTCCAAATGCCAGCGTTGCGTCGTTATTCTGCGATAAAAGATATGGAAATTACGTCTTTTTACGCTCAACGGGCGGAACGTTATTAATTGGTTTTTAATGTCACTAATTATAACTTTACATCGTTTCTTAAGAGATATTTAAGATAATTGCTATTTGTAATTAACGACCCTTAATGTGGGGATTGTCATTTTTCTTTACTTAAATTGATGCCACATAAAGCTTGGCAATTTTGACTTTGCTTGGTTCAACTGTTGATTAACATCGATTGGCAGTTAAGGATACACGTGCGATATCGCCCATTGGAATTGGCTGTGAAATTATTAGAATTAGTCGAAGATGCGTTGATTATTATTGATTCCATGTAATTGCTCAAAAAATTTCGATGTATATTTGAAAAGAAAAAGAAACCAGGAACACGATAAAGGGAAAAAAAATCTGTAACTTTTTAGATATTTATCATATTATTACGAAATAAACTGTTATCTCTGTAGCAAAAATATGAGTTGACCATCAATGCGAATATTTGTCTAAACCCCGAACCCTATTGTCATCGCGGCGGTTCCTGGCGAAAATCAAAAGCGACAGTTTTTGATCGATGAACCTCGGCGGAATTTAACGTTGGTTAAACGACAAATTCGCTAATTGCGTAGACGCACGCAGCCAAATACAGCCGTAGCTTTAATAAAAAATAATTGTCTCGGATCGTATTACCAAATTAACTATTAACAATCAAATTTTTTTATAATTGGTGCTCCATAAATCTGTCGATATTTTGTAGCGGTGCCTTAAATTTGTTCTGGGTGTACAAATTCCAAACACGTATGTTTTTGTGTGCAAAAGTACGCCTGTACTCCAGGGACTGATTGATCGCACGGAATTGGCAGAGTCCACTTTTTTTTTATTTTCTGTTTCTACAAACTGCGCTATACGCGCCAAGCGTTATTTTCTACTCAGACATGTCGAGGTCCACTCACGTCACTTTTCGTATACGGAGTTCAGTTTCAGTACTTAACCCTTTTTTTATTTTCTATTTTTTTTTTTCCGTATAAACGCGAAACAGTTCTGAATTCGAACGATTATTTCTGGTGGATTAAACCTAAATTGTTCAGGTGGAAAATATACAATTTGTCATGTATTGCTTTATGTTTCATGTCCATACTCGTAATGCATATTAAAGACGAACGTTGCACGTGTATATCCTACACGGGACCGTGGAAGAGTATCGAGGAAAAAAGTTTACACGCACGGAGTATACAATACCACGTAATTTCGTAGGATTCGAAAGACTAATGAAATTACGCTGTTTGGCGTGTTGTGGTGCTTTATATATTTTTTATCCCTCAGGAGAAAATTATACTCTCCATTCGGTCGTGATTGATGAGCTTGCACCTGAGTACAAAAGAGAAACGTGTTACCTTGAAGGATGGCATCTATCTAGTCTCACCACATTACACGTTCACCTCGGAAAATCCTTGGGGAAAAACACCCCAGGAAAATCTTAAAGCCAGGTACTCATGGCACCATGCCGCCTACTGGTGATAGTAAGAAAGTATCATTTTCCTCCTCACAGTAGAAATTGACATGAGACCCTAACGATCGACCTGAGGTACCAGAAGTGTCTGCGAGGAGGAAAATGCCAGGACTGGAGTCTTTCTCAGAAATTATAGGCGGACTCTATAACGTGTAAACGTCTGTAGAAAGCGTGGTGAGAATCGATTCGCGGATGTTGCAAGGAGCACGATAGCATCTGCGCTGAGCAAGGAGTCAGAGCTCTTCCAAGAGCCACGAGAAATGCCGTGGAAGAGGATTAAACGTAATGGATCTTTATTTATTTATTTTTCTTTGTTATAAAATTTTGTACTGTAGCTTATAAATATTTTTCAAATTCTAGGCGGTACTTTCTTTAGAAGACAGAAGATACTGTCCTCCTCGAGTGAAGCAGATGCTTTACCGGCAGCACACCTTTTATGTTCTTCTAACAGTACCTACCCAACCTTTCAACCCTCTTGGGAACAATGTCACCCCTTGGAACAATGACTGAACGCATTCAGTCAAGCGTTCCCACTCGTTCCCGAAGTAATCACGGTTAGTAGCTGGAAATTAAGACAAGATTCTCCATCGAAACAAGCAAAGGGTTGTTACTAATGTTTATTGACTTTATTTTCAAGCTCGTCTCGTGCACGACCGAGCAAAGTTACCCCGTAGGAAAACCACGAAGGGGTAGATACAAACACCCTTTGGTATTTTGCAAGAGTCGATGGGATTTTAAAGAATTTCTAAAGAATTTTGGGGCGCATTATATACTATGGTTAAACGCATTCCAACCCTGTTGCAATTTTCGGTCAATCAGGTAATGATTATCTGGAATTTTCAAATATATGTCGATTTTTTTTTCAAATTCATTTATTTAATGAGGTCAATTTTTTTTTGATTCTGACTGGAGTCCCTTATGCAGTAATGAAAAATAAGTAGTATCTTATTACTTGTATTATTTCATTACCAGTTCTAATCAACCTCGTCTCCGGCATTTTCTCATCGCAACTCGAGTTTCCGCAATTCCATTCGAGTCGTCTTGGCCGCTTGCCGACGTCATCAACCACTCTTATTTTTTCTTGCTTTCCGGTTGGTTATTGCTAATAAAACAGTAATTATTCACGTGGAAATTGCTGCAGCAAGTTATACAACGTTAGTAATGGGCGATAAACGTGATGGCGGTGCGATAATACTGTTTACCAGGTGGATTAATATCATCTTTTTCCGTCATGCCATAATCGAGCAAATACGTGAGAAACAATGTTTTACGGCTTTGAAATTACAGATAAACTTTGTTTATCCTATAAATGTTAGACTTTGCATCTTTCTTCTATATACGGTTATACCCTACGAGAAGGTGGCATCTTTATGCTTGCGGCGCTTACAACTATTCCATCCGGTTCCGTTCCGGTCTCATAAAGCATACTTACTTTAAAAAGGGAAGCGGAAAATGTATTTATGGCATTTCCATCCCCTTACGCAGGAAAAGTGTTTTTCTTTTTTTCCTATCCGACAAGCGCTTTTACCGAAAGTGTTTTCTAAGTAAACCATTCGGGATATCGTACAGCCGCGTTTTGCTCACAGATTCAAATTTCTCAGCTGCCTCTCGAACAGGTAGAAAATCTGTCACAGACACTGAAACTTTTATCAAAACATCGTAATGAACATGAATTTAATCAACAAAAAATAATAAATTTCCATAAACAATCAAAGATTCGGAGTAGAATTTTTTTTTTAATTTTCACTGAAACGTATTACTCCCAGGGGGCATATCCGGTCGGCCATGTAGGGTTTATGACTTTGGCTTGTAAATCAGCCAATAGACCCCAGTAAATGGTATGCAGGTCGTTTCAAAGTATATATACCGGGACTTGAGAGGGTAGTAGAGGTATTCAAGATTTCGGTATAATAATGTCTCAACAATAGTGGATGATTTTGATATTTAAATCAGATTCGAAAATCTACAAATTGCTGACGTGGCCAACACAGGCGAGAATGCCACAAGATTATACAGGTCGATTCAAAGAGGAGTATCATCCAAAAAATTCTTCCCCCTAGCACACTGGGCCACTCTCCTGCTCTTACCACCCACTCCGTGTGCCTCCCATACGAAGAAAGGCACTTGATGCCGCATAAGCCCCCCGTAGAAGAGATTCTGCGCAATCGAGCAGCCCCAAACTAGGGGATGATCGTCCCCCGTTCCGAATGGAAGATTCGCGGAATTCGTGAGTTCTCGCGGCAGTCTGGGCGCCGTGGCAAAGGACGTGCCGTTGAAGGAGAGCACCCGCTATATACCCTAGTATATATATATATCTATAAGGATCCTTTCTATCTCGGAGGCTGTGTTCTCGAGACTAGCCAGCCTGGAGGATATGAGTCTGCGCAGTGATGTTCCAGTGGGTTCTGCTCCTGAGGGTGTATAGAGTGAGTCAGTGAGCCTGAGGGATGATTGGGCGCCTATACGAATTCAGAGGGTTGAATAGAGAAGTGCTACCAGACTCGGTGTGGAGCTCTCGTCGAGCCTCTATAGGGGATGATTTCGGTTTTTAATCTAAGGGTGTGGTGGTAGAGTGGGAACGTGTATCGTCAGAGTTCAGTGGGTCTTCTTCGGGTATAACCATCCCCGATGACGTTGCCCTCGCTCTAGTGACTTTCGTGGGGTCGTAACACGTGCGTGAATATAACCGAGCGAATAAGAGAGAAAGAGAGAAAGAAAAAAAATATCCATCTCTTATCCTATACATTAAACGGAAAAACCAACCCTGCGCTTTAAGAGAGGTATCCACCCCCCGTGGGATAGCAACTGCACTGTGTCGTGTAAATTGTAACTTTCATATTTTTTATTCACAATTATTATATAACGCTTGCACGTCTATTTAGAGTATATCTACGCTTGGAATTGATATCGCGGTTCAATCAAAAGTGTCGAAGATTTTAATAATCAACGCTAAGACTTTGTATCCGGTTTAAATGTTATACAGTGGTACTTTTGTAGCACGAAAATAATTTATCGTCAAAGCGCGACGGCAATGCGATTGCCAAAGCCTGTGGTACCTGTACCCTTGGGTGCTTCTGGTATTTCAGTGTTCTTTTGAGAGTAGCAATTAAAAGGGTTTAGGAAAGAGATATATGCTTCGTGTTTGTATATATATATATATACACAGTCTCTAGCCGAAAATAACGGATGAATTCAGCATTTGGTGCTCGCGAGGGTAATATGTCGTGTGCAGTGACGTTATAATATACGGCTGAAGGGGTAATTGATAGGATGACCATAACCTATATGTATTATATAGATATATTACATGTTGCATATGTGTATATAAATATATAGGATAATGGTTTGTTGTATAGATAGTGGGAAGGTACAAAATTGATACTATGGACATTATTTGACTGATCTCGCGGTGAAATACCCATGGGGTAACTTATTGTCAGTTGTCTCCTATAAGTTAGGGTTGATGTTTTCGCTTGTAGGACGTCCGTTAGGAAGTCGGGACTTCGCTGACTGCGGGACTGTAGATTCGATTTGTGGGATACCGAGTTCGGGATTCGCCCCAGGGAACTCTTGGGAATTCTAGACGGGAATTTACGCTGGAATTTCGACGCGGTGACAACGCGACTCGCTGAGAATCTCATTGGCTCATCCGTGACGCAACTTACGCTGTCATAAAAAAGAGGTCGCGCGGTTCACTTCGTAAGCGAGAAAACGAATTTACTGGAGTTGAACTAGATTTTGTGGACGGAAATTTTTTTTCAATTGACAATTCATAAATTTTGACAAAAATTTATCCAACGTATGTAAATATGTTATTTTTACTTTTTAATGCTTTCTCCTTATCACAGGGTCGATTAGCAAGGCGGACGTCGATATTGCTTGAGGATCTTTTGGAGGCGAGCCAATTTCTAATAAAATTCTGTTATTAGTTTGCCAAAAGCGAGGGCCACGTGCGAGAGAGAAAAAGAATAAAAGTAAGAGGCAAAACTTGAAAGAAAGAGAAAGTTAATGGAAGGAATGTATCTCGAGTAGAAAACGAAGTGGCAAAAATTAAAAGAGTCACTTTCGACTTTCGGTAAAATTCATTTGTTCGCAAACTTAACGCAAGAGTAATATATGACTGTAAGATTCATGGGTGACTTATTGGGTTAAACAACGTGCCATTTGTCAGTAACGATTCTTAATTCAGGGTAAAATGTCTTGGCAGCATCGGATTTACATTTCCCAGTAACACAGGCTAAACGCAATACCTCGGTATCGAAGGTGGCAAAATTAAGCATAATTAATTTGTCGACGTGAACGAGGGTCGGCATCCTCCCCATAGCGAAGTACCTACAGCCTCTCTTCCGAAATCCTAATTCTTCTCCCTCGCTTTCTCTTTCTCTCTTCTATTCGTTTATATAATCTTGCTTCTTCTTCAGTCCCCCTATCCATCGTGGAATAACGAAATTTCGTACTTTACCAAATTCCAGGAGTCCAAATTTCAGAATCTCTCGTCAATTGACGGAATTATATTGTCTCAAATTTCATTTCTTTTATTTTCTTCTTAACTTTCTCGGATTTCATTTTAGCCACTGACATCTATCTGTCGCTCGTACCGTCCGCTATTTCTTTTCAGGCTCTCAAACTCTCGTAGACACTCAATCTTCGATGCTTACGTAGTAGGTGTATGGGTTGTCCTATCAGACCAGACCAAGGCGTTCGTATAAAGTAAGCGAACCGCGAGAAATGACCGTGGCTCAATCTATCTAGAATATTAGCAAAGCCTATGGACGTTCGCGAGAATTCGATACCGAACGTTCGCCAAGCTCATTCGAGCGTCCTAGATCCTCTCCGCGTTCTATTAGAGGCTCCTTTTTGCTAAGCCACTGATTCGTGGCGGCGCTTATCCGGCCGTACGTTGCATATACGTAGATATATATATTTTTAGCGTGAGCAAGAAGGTTCGAAGGGAGGAGTAATAAGGTAGATTGGGTTGAAGTAATAGGGTGAAGAGGAAAAGAAAGAGAGTAAAAAAGAAAGCTTATGTTTCAGAAGAAGGCCAGGTCAAGTGTTTGTGTATCCACAAAGCAGGGCACGTTAAATAAAGGGTGCATGAGATTGTTAATTTTTTCACTGCAAGGAAAGGGTAGCGTTAATGTTTTTCTGCATTTTTCGTTCGTTTTCTCTTCAAAGGTACAAAATAATTGGTCCCTCAGGGTGAGAAAACATGAAAAAAAATCCGACGGTCGGATCAACAAAATCTTCTCCATTGAGAGTGTAACGCGAAATAAATTTTTCTGGAAAATTCGATTACTCTAAATATCCCAAGTATCTCATAAAGTACATATTTATTTTTGGTAACAAGACGCAAATAAATCCAGTGAGTATAACAATGATATTTCTCGTAAAAACTTCCTGGAAAATAAAATAACACTGAAACCCCTAGTTGTCTATACATATATCCCTTACGTCCAAAGCACAGAGGATAAGATAAAAAAGAATCCGTGGTAAAGGTCGCCCTTGATTTTCGAAAATCCAATTTCGACGCGTAGACAGATCAGTAAAGGTATTGCGATGCGGTTAGTGTCTACAGAAGCAGTGCTGTAGTCATGAACAATAGCAGGGTGACGTACATATAGAACTACTTGTCGGCAGGGTGATTTCCAGCAGGGAGTATAGACTGCCATATATGTAGTAGCATACGAGACACGTGTACTATACTGAACTGAGAAATTAGTGTGAGAGAAATTAAGAGAAGAAAAGCAATAATAATACAAAAATAGAAAAATAAATCTAAAGGATAACGTAGAAATAGGAATGGTAGACAGTTGGGTCGACGTGAAACCCAGGGGCGTGTCAAGTAATCCTATGAATTATTAGACTGGCAAGTAGGTAGGGTAGGGTAGGTAGGTAGATGTCTTTCGCGTTGAGTTTATGATAATATTTAATCCAGTTAACGTGGAATATAGAACATATATATAAAGGCTATAGCTATACATATAACGTCGATGGCTCTCTAGCCACGATACGTAGAACTCGTGGCAGTCAGTCAGTCGATGTCCCGGTGTGCTGTTCTGTTGGCAGCGCTAATAATCCAGTTACAAAAACAGTGTTAGAACGAAGAACTCGTCGTAAAAGTCACCAGAGTCGTTGCGACTGGAAAAGATTTCCATTGTGGACGGGTGATCATTCGATCGAGATACTTAATATGACGAAGAAGAAACTGTCTGATGATAATATCTCATTGTGTTACTGCGCATACATCTTGGAGGAAGTGTCACGTCCATTTCTTCCCGACTATAGTTTTTTGGCTTCGCGTCCATTTACTCACGTCACTTCTTGCTATCGCGAGCACAGTTATTCTTTCTCTTTCTCATAAATGGACCATTGAGTGAGACGTGTTCAGTGCAATGTGATATTGTGGTGTTCGTTTACGTTGTTGTGGATTTTGTTTTCCCTGCTCCTTGAACGATCATGCGTTGTACTGTGTGAACGAAGCTTTATTTTCACGAGGGTGAACAAACGCGATTGACATACATATACGCGTGTTCTAAGTGCTTCCTTATGAACGGGTCTTCACGTGTTACGATTGTGTTTCTACTTTCTTCAGTGGACGTTTGCCAATGACCTTTAACTTGTGTCAAGGATTTCGGCTGTCTAGGGACTTTATATTGGACTAGAAAGGTATTTTGGAATAATAATCTATATGTGTGTTATATAACGAAATATATATATAAAGGAGGTATAACAGTCGTTATATTTATCGTGAGTGACTTTATTAACGTGTTTTTCAAGTGAACCATGTAATTAATTTGATTAGATACTAATGACATTTTTGAATTAATCGCGTAAACGAATCTCTATCGTGAGTGTACCGACGTATCTGTACGTACGAGTTTTATGTACGTTGATAAAGGTGATACAAGAACAGAATTACTGAGAGTGCAGGATTACTGTAACGAGGAATAAAAATTGTTACAAGTGGGATAAGCAACGTTAATGTTTCGCTTAACGGTGGAATAAAGAACCGTCTTTCCGAGCCGAGTAAAGTTGTGAAGAAAATTTTCCTTTTACGGTTTTCAAACGCTGACGTGAAACAGATATTCTTGGTAGCCTTGTGACGTGGCTGTGCTCCGAGGACTTTGAGAATTGTGAAGTGTTGAAAAAGGTGAAGGAATCGTTTGGGCGTCAAAGACAGCGACGACGACGACGACAACGGTACAGAAATGGCAGAAGTTCATATTCACTCATATTTCTCGTACTCGAGGGAAGCTATTAGCAATACCCGCATATCCTTTTTAATTTCACAAAGCGTCGCGACGCACAACCCGAGCGTCGGACCCGTCGAACTGACATTGTGGACGCAGCTTCACGAGTGATATCGCAGTACGTGAACGGAATTAAGAGAAAAATACGGAAATCCATAAAAAAATAAAATGACCTATAAAATATAGAATACTTTTGAATTCAGCAGAAACTTTCTCCACGGAATTACATCCTGTGAAATTCTGTAAAAGAAAGGAAGAAGAAGCCTTCGTCTCTGAAACAGCATTTGATTTATCAAAGGGTGTTCCCAGGAAAATCGCATAATCGACTGTAGTACTACTCGTATTTGGTAGGCCAGTTCAGAAATTTCCAGAGGGAGGAAAAGTCCTTGCTGTTGTGATAGAACCTTTAATCATTCGAGATGTCGAAGCACCACGTGACTGGCTGAATATTTTCTTGTGGCGGGGAAGACTTCGTAGCATTCTGGGGAAATTCATAATAATACATCGTATTAGATAATAATAATATTTTAACAAAACGTCACACTAAGCCTATGAAAAAAACTCGTATCCTTTAAAAGAAGAAAAATCTAAAGAAACTCAAAACCACAGGGTCATCCGAATATAACTGAGCCGTGAACACCTCCTGAGACTTACCGTCAGGATAATTTAACTTCCACGGCAGAAAAGCTTAAGGACATCGCTAGGAGGATGTCGCCTGGCCGTGTCGGGAGGGCGTCAGGACCCTTTATCGGGAACAGGGAGAAATGAAGTTATCAGTGTCGGCTTACAGAGCTCAAGCTAGTGCTCACAAGAAGATCCTTTGCAACTATCAGCATCAGCTGAGTTACGGTGCTACGAATCAGGCGCCCTCGGCCCGGACCACCTCAGACCCCGCGGCGGTCCTTTCTGCTTTCAAGGTAGGAAAATACATTTTATTTAAATTTCTACATATCCATGGTCAGCCCGCAATATTAATATTCACTTCTAGGGGACTTGAATACATTTTGATCTGTAAGGAGATGATCCTTCAAAGTGGAACTGCGATGCTACGGCCCGTGAGCAATGGCATCCCCAACCTATGGCTTCCCTCCCCCTAATTTTCTTAACAATAGAAAAACATATAAGTGCACTCTTATCACTCCTATAAACAAATTCAAACTCAAATCCTTCTAAAATGATATCGATTATTATTATTATTATAGTTTCAAGACGTCATCATCACCCTTGTTCACCCATCTAAGTATACCTATACATATACCAAGTTCTGCCTACCCAACAATTTCTCAACAGGATACATCCAACATTTTGGTCCCTTTATCCTCCCCATTACTCAGGGCTTAAATCCGAAATAAGATGAGGCTTTCTAAAAATCATCCAATTATGGATACAAAATGGCAGAGAAACCAAATTATCTACACGTAATTCCAGTACGTAGAACGGTGTTATACAGACATACATAGAATATGAGAATAATGAGAAATTGCAATGCATACATTAAAGTACCGTGTCATAGAGAAACGTGTGTAAATATTAGTTCTCAGTTTTGCATACTTACCCTTATCCAGCTACGTCTATGTATCCATCCAGCATAGACATAAGAGAATGCACTACCAATTATACTGTCCCACGGCAATTCTACTCGATCCGCCATTATAGCATGTATGTCGTTCGTATACCTACACTTTATATATCGTTATACTTTATCCATAGAATGCACATTGCAAAGCCAACTCCATCAGTTAGCTACACTCGGTAATGCAAATAATAGAGGTTCTCCGAACAAGTAACAATGTAATCTTGTAAGGGGGTTGAGGTACCTCTGGAGGGGGGGGGGCGTAGCCTTCCAATTAAGGGTGCTTGCGGGGATGCATTAGTCGCCCGTTACTACCAGTACAACTACCTGGTGGTGCTCGCGTTCCAGGCTACCTCGGTTCCTTTACTAAGGGGATGGGCTTTCGCTGTGCTGTTATGCCAAGTGAATTAATACTTCCGTACGGTTGTGTGCTCGTGTTTGGTAGGTTGAAGAGCTACACAAAATCTCCGAACTGTAGGGTATTCTATATCTGACCATGTTTCAGGTCGGTAATGGGGATAGAATCTGTAATTGAAAATTCTTATGCACCTTGTATACCATACATATATATAACGGGTCCCCATGCAGAAGACAATATAGCGTGTAAGATGCTCCGTATAGCATTTATGTGCTGTAGGTGAGTAGATCGTACCTATTGTACGTGATATATATATATATATGGTTTGGATATTGGATAACTACTAGGGACGCTGGTATATTATATGGTTATTCAGAAACTCTATTGAGCATTGTTTCCTATATCCTGTTCCTGCAGTTGGTGATATACACGTATGAGTATATACATATATACTGGATGTATCGTAACTCTGATATATGTACTACCTGCGTCTTTAAAGAGTTTATGCCTTTTCTCAAGGTCCTCGTGGCGGTACTCCTTGGGTCTCGTTCTTATTGGAACTTTTACTCAAGACGATATTCAGATTTTCTTCTCGCGAAAAAACATGGCGGAATAAGCACCACTTCGCGGAGTGTAATAAGGATATTCCATAGAGTCGTTTACTTGCGCGCGATTCCGGGTCCGGTTACGTTGAGCTTGTCGTGGAGTCCTTACGCAAC